GGCCCTGAGCTTCCGTTTCACCTGCAGAACTTTCTCTGCAGCTGCTCTAGGTCTCTCCCTCCCCCATTCCTCCCTTCCTTGCTCTTGAGATTTCCACAAAATGCCTCCAATTTCCCAGAGTATTCTAGATCCAGACGGGGACCTGAGGGCGCTCCAGTGAGCGAGGTGCTGCCTCGGGGCGTCCCATGTATTTCCCTCCAAGCTTTTCTGAGCCTCAGTTTTCCCATTCTGTAACATGGGGAGGAAAAACACAAGGCTGCCTCTCTCATGAGGCTGCTGGGAGGATGTACAGGATTGTCAGAGCTGGGTGCACCAATTCCTACTGATTAGTCTGACTCTGGCAAGTGCAGGGTGGAGAGGCGGGGTCTTGATTTGCGGGTTTCGGAGCCAAGGAAAGTGCTGGGAGCAGGGCAGTATGTGTACAGCCTCAGATAAAGCCTAGTGGAAGATGAACAGTGTGGCGGGGGAGGGACGACCTGTAGGTTACTGAGGCGCCTCCGCCCAGTCCCTCAGTGTCCCTCTTCTCGCCTGGAGTTTCTCCAGACACCGAGAGCCTGGGGGCTGAGCTTCTACCGGCTCCAGCTGGCCCGACACCGCCAGCCCTCCATCTGGGGAGTTCCGCCTCCAGGTGATCGATTTGGGCTATAACCCGAGACTACAAGGGCTTGCTGGCTCTCCAGAGTTCAGCCGGTCCCAGTGACGCTCCCGCCGTGTCCCTTCGCACCTCCCTCCCCCCTCCCCCGTGCTCGCTCCTCCCCCCCCACCCCCCAGGTCTAGGCTAGAACCGGCGGCTCAGCCTGCCCCGGTGCTCACCAGCTGCTCTGGCTTCTTCCCTCCCGATGTTGTTTGGGTTTTAATTTTTGTGTTGCAGTTAGAAAATTACCCATAATTACAGCTTCTGCGAGGAAACGTCTCATGGCGCAGACCCTGCTCCCAGCTGTGGTCGCCTCCCACGCTCGGCTGGGGAGGGGCTGCAGGGGCCTTGGGTTCGGATCCTGGACCCTCCCTGAACCCCTATCCCATCCCGTTAACGGACTGCACCCACCTCCTGTGGAAAGGAAAAACCACCAACGGGAAAACCCATACTAGCCTTCCCACCGACGCAAGCAACATATTCATGAACCCCTACCGCTGTGTCTGCAGGGAGGGCAGATTCAGAGGGAAGCGAGAGCTGCCAACAGATGACTTAGGCAATATTTTATCATTAACAGTGACAAGTCCAACCAAGGCTAGTGCAGAACCAGTAAACTGGAAGAGACGGCCAAGGAAGGCGAGGAGGAAAGGGGAGGGAGAGCCGGAGGAGGAGAAGGGGAGGGGAGGAGGGAAGAGACCGAGAGGAGGAAGAGAAGTGGGGGTGGGGAGGAGGAATACTGTGGCCAAAGGCCGAAGGAGACCAGAACTGACTAGGCCAGTAGCCAGAGAAAGCGCGCTGCAGGCGGCAGGAAGGGCTGGTGCAAAGGCCAGGAGTGGGCCTGTGAAGGAAGGGTCTGCAGAATGCAAGGGCCGGAGGGGAGGAAGTGAGGGGACGGATGGCTCCTCCCCCAGGCAAACCCCCGGCCCTAAAAGCGGAGCTGACTCCGGGTTCCCGCGGACCACGACCCTGACCTTGCGGGGCTGGGGTTTGAGGGAGTCACTGGTACCACGAGTCAGATACCCGGCTAAGGGCTGCAGCCCCCGCGCAGCCACACGGGGGCGACCGGGAGCCGATCCAGCCTTGACCCTTAGCTCTCCTCGCTTATCTCCCTCCCGCCCCTACTCCTGCTCCTAAATCAATTCCCCGGTCGACTCTGTCCACCTGGGCCTCTTCCCGAAACAACCTCCCTGCCTCCTCAACGCCATCCCTACCCACCCGGCAGCCCCTTGGAGCCTCTTAAAATCCTGACGTAGACCCCACCCCTTGAGACCACACACTTTCCTGGGGCTCCCGATTCCCTTCAAAACAAAGCCCAACCCGTCCCCGCCGGGATTGGCCCGGCTCCTCTGGTCCTTCCCTGCCTGCTCCAGTCACGCTGCCCTCCTCGCTCCGCCTCCAGCGCTTTAACCGTGTGCCCGCCTCAGGGCCTTTGCACTTGCCGCGAATTCTTCCTCCAGAAGTCTCAGATCCACCTCCCACTTGTTTAAAAAAAAAACCCAAACTCCTTTTCTCCTCATGCCCCTCCCTTGCAAGGGTGAGGGATGGGGGTGGGGGGTTTCTACGGGTTCTGCTTTTGCAAGACATGCGATCCGGTTCGTGATGAGCTCGGCTCAGCTTCCCGTATGCTGCTTGGGACCCAGATCTTGCTCTTCTCGGACTTTTCCGCCGGCGCCGAGGCTGTGTTTTGCAGATCCGTCCCCGTTGCCATGAGAACTGTGCTAGTCTCTCCCGCCCGCCGCGCCTCCCCCCTCCGCAGCTAGCCCGGCCGCGGGCGCCTCCGCCTCCCAGCCTCCTTCCCTCCCACCGCCTTCTGCCCTAGCGGTCGCCCCGTCCTCTTCACCGGGGTCCCCTCCCTCTGCTCAGCACGTGGCACTCTCTGAAATCATCCTCCTGTTCGCCAGAAGCCTCTGCTCCACAAGCTGTAAGCAATGTGTCCCGATGGGGTCCACAGAGTCAGCATACAGCAGGCGCTCAATAAATGTTTGTGAGGAGGAGGAAGACTCACATCGACTCAAGGAGACGCAGAGCAGAGCAGGCCAGGGACCTGCCCAGGGGGCACAGAATTCTGGAGAGCCACCGAGCCTTAAGAGATAATGGGGGCGTCCGGGGTGGCGACTGGAGAGTCTAGGGGACCTGGGAGTCACAGATGTCTGTGTGACTTGGCTGAGTCACACCCTCTGTGTGCCTGGCTGCGAGTAGGTGCTGGAGAGCAGTGGTGGGAACCGGTATTACAAGGGTGTCCTCGATGCCAACGTCCATCGCTGGCCCCCGGGACATTGGACAGCCGCCAGCTCACCGTCTGACGGAAGCGGGCGGGCCGCGCCCCCAGGAGAGCGCAGCGCGGGCCCCTCCTCCGCGCCTGCCGGGGGCCGGCAGGCCCGCGGGAGAGGAAGTTGGGGGAGGGGACGACCGGCTGGACAGGAAGTGGGAAGGGCTGGCGTTCCCCACCCCCAACCCCAGGCCGGGGCCCCTCGGGATGGAGGCGGGGCTGGGGCCGGCCTAGCCCTTCCCTTCCTGTTCGCCTGTTTGGAAGCCCAGCGGCTCCAGACTTCCCGCCCACCAGAAGGCCTAGGTCGGGGGAAGGCCACTGGAGGGGAGGGGTACTAAGAGGGAAGCTTATTCGGGGGTCGGCCGGCAGCGGCTGAGGCGCTCCGATCAAGACGCACACGACACAGGAAATCTGAGCGGACAACCACACACAACACAGGTCCCAGGGGGCCAGCAATCCACCCACTCGCGGAGGTACACACACTAGTGTACAAAACCTAACGCGGCATCACTCGGCCCAGCACATGACCGCCGCGGACACACAGCCACCGTCGCAGAGCAAGGAACAACTGCCCGGACAGCGACTGGGGCGCCTGGCAACCCCCCACGCACAAAGACGAACACGTGCACTCAGAGGAACCGCGTGTTTACACACACACTCGCGGCTGTACAAAGCAAAGAAAAAGAATATCCACGGCAAACATTCACAGAAGCATCTAGACCTACAAGTCACAGCTAGACCGCCTCCCCCCCCAGCCCAAGCAGGTCCAGCGCACATTGCGGACGGGTACCCCGGCACACAGGTCTCCACCCCCCCAACCCCACCCCAGGCGCCCCTTTCCTTCGGGTGTCGGCCTCCACCTCCTCTGCACACCCCCAGGGGGGGAGAAGAGGAGTCCTAGGAGGGAGAATGGGATGCCTACTGCCTGCACCCCGACTCTTGCAGAGGTGCTATTAAGGTGGAATATTCACAGCTGGCACAGGCTGGGAGGCGGAGCCAGCGAAAGTGACCCAGTCAGTCAAGTCACCCAGCACCTGCAACTGACAACAGGTGTGACTGTCAGGCAGTACTGGGTGGCTCCCAGGAGGTAGCCTGGATACCCAGGAGCGTCTTGTCCGTGTGGTGTCTGTTGTGTGACTGTGTTGCACGTGACTGAGTCGTCTCTGGCTCGGTGAGACCCCAGGTCCCTGTGTGAAGCCCTCGGGAGGCTGCGACGGTGTGCCCCAGGGTAGCTGCGGGGTCTTTCCACAGCTGTTGGAAGCTGTGGCATAGCGGTGCCTATGCGTGTCTCCGTGCGGCTCGGTACCTATGTGAGTGTGGAGCGTGTGTTTCAGGGTTTTGTAACAGCCACTCTTTGAGCTGTGTATACCTACGTGAATGACAGTGCGTCCCGAAGGCGGGCTGTGTGTGTGGCAGTTCCCACCCGTGCTGGGTGTGGGCAGCTCTGCGGGGGCGATGCACCCAGTGTGACTGCCTGTAGCTTTATGGGGCTATGAGTAGTTGCTCCAGCAGCCATGCGGACTCACGAGTCCTGTGTCGGCGAGTATAGCCGCAACTGTGTGGCTGTGCTCCTGTGTACAATATGGGCTTATCTGGATGCTGCGTGTGTAGCAGCTATCAGCTGTGTCCTGTTGTTCGCCCCCGAGTGGCAGTCCCCACTCGCGCCCTGAGTGTGTGTAGCCCCGCGCCCCTTCCCCCGCGGCGGCCACTGCGCGTGCGCGCCCTGCCCACGGTCCCGGCGGCGGGACCCACCCGCGCTCCCGCCATCGCCCTTTTAAGAGCGGCGCCCGCGGGCGACGGGGTGGCGGCGGGCGGGGGCGCGCGCGGCAGGAGGAGGGGGCGCGCGCTTCCCGGAACAGCCCGCGCTGAGGGAAGAGAGGAAGAAAATAAAACCCGCGGCCGGAGCCAAAGCTGGAGCTGCCGCCGCCGCCGTCTGGAGCTCCCCCGCGCGGACAATGCCCGCGATGCCCGCACGGGGCTCAGGGCGGTGAGGCCCGGGGCGCGGGGTAGCTATGGCGACAGGGAGCGCGGCCCGCGGCGCCGCCTGACAGGTGTGGGGCCCCGGCGGCGGCGGCGGCGGCGGCAGTGCGGAGCAGCATGTACGCCAAGGGGGGTAAGGGCTCGGCCGTGCCCTCCGACAGCCAGGCACGAGAGAAGTGAGTCGGTGGGTCGGGACCGCGGGAGCCGGGGGCGGGGCTCGGTGGCCGCGCCGCTTCCGTGGGCCCTAATGCCGGCGGGCATCGCGTGGGGCACGTGGGTGCGGGTCCGAGCGAGATTTGTTGGGGGCGCGCCAGACCGGAGGGGTTCGGGCAGTCGCGAGCTAAGTGAGAGCGCGGTAGAACCGAGGGGCATGAGAGGTTTAAGGGGTCGCGAGATTTGAGGGGACACGCGAGATCCGAGAGGTCGTGAGAGTAGAAGGGGCGCGGGAGACCCGAAGGGTGCGAGATTTGCGGAGGCGCGCGAGATCCGAGGGGTACTAAAGGGTCGCGAGACCTCCCCGACGTCGAGACTTGGGTGTGCGAGGTTGCCACCGGTGTGCGCGCTCGCGATTCGTGCCACTTCCCCCATCCTCTGGGGGAAGTTTCCCGGACAGGCGAGACTGGCCACTCCGCTGCCCGCCCCCTACTCCGCTCCTTGGTGAAAGCTTGAGGGACGGGAGAAGGGCCTGAGGGGCGGCGGGCCCACCCCCGCAAGACCACCTGTCCAGCGGGGCCTGGCGCAGCTGGGTGGGGCCCTTGGGGAAGCCGCAGGGCTCACAGTCTTGGGGCGCCCACTTGTTCTGGGCATGGAGCTGGGCTTTGGGTCGCAGATGCGTTCAGGCTGGTAGACGGACAGGTACCTAACTCCCAGACTCTGCGATGAGGGGCTGGGGGCGCTCGGAGCTTCTTGGAGTGGGGTGGCAGCTGAGCTGCTGCGCCTGCCTGCTGGCACTGCCACTTACCTGGGGTGTGACTTTGGGTGAGGGAGTACCGCCTCCTAAGCTCACTCTTTATCCTGAGAAATGCAGACGTAATAACAGTTCCGCTTCTTAGGTTTAGGAAGCATTTGAAAAGTGCTAGGACCTGTGACTATCAAAGCAAGGGCACCCAATGGTGGTTTGTGATATTATTATAGTGCCAGGGAAAAGGGAAGGCTTGCGATGGCTGATTTGCAGGATCGTAGAAATCAAGCCACCTAGCGTGGGACACCAGCTGCTGGAGACGTTAGGAGACTGGGTTCTCAGGGAGAGGTCCCATGATGACTATTCAAGGAATAGAGCAGGAGTGAGGATTTGAAAGTCTGGGCAGTGAAAAGGAGCTGTAAACATGGGCTCTCTCCTGTCCTGCGTTTTCTGCCTGGGCTGACATTGGGACCCTTTCCCACCCCCACTGGGACCTTCAGCTGTCCCTGTCACCTTCATCCCCTTATTTAAAGATTTACTTACTTATTTTTTGGCTGTGGTGGGTCTTCATTGCTACACACCAGCTTTCTATAGTTGTGGAAAGCAGGGGCTACTCTTCATCGCAGCGTGCGGGCTTTATCTCTTACAGCTCAGCAACTGTTTCTCTCTTGGCTGAGGACAAGCGAAGCTTGAGAGCTCAGCAGTTAGGGCTCTTGGGCTCCAGAGTGCTGGCTCGGTAGTTGCGATGCACCGCTTAGTTGCTCCACAGCATGTGGGGATCTTCCCAGACTAGGGATCAGACCGGGGTCCCTTGCGTTGCAAGGTGGATTCTTCAGCACTGAACCACCAGGGAAGCCCTCATCTTCTTATCTAAAAAGATCTGAAACCAATGACCAAATGCAAGCACTAGTTAGTGCTTGGTGGGAGGTGCTCTTGGGGCCTGCCTGTAAGCTGGAGCGTTCTTCATTTACAGGAGAGGCTGTGTCTTCCTGCAGGCAGCCTACTCAGATCCTACCTCCCCCTCGCCCACCCTGCCTTCCCTCCCCTGTATTCCCTGGAGCCTGCACTGTGTGCCATGAACCCCCAAGGGCAGGGACCCACCATCTGTGCACCTAGCAGACTCTAAGTCCATTGTTAGGACAGGCTGGCCCAGACCTCGTTCTGAGATGGGGAGCCAGAGGGGGCTCAGGACAGGGGCCAAAGAAGGAAGGAGAAGAACGGCAGGAGGAGGCAGGAAGGTGGGATCAGGGAGAAAAGAACAGGACTGGAGAGTTAAGGACCTGAGCAGTGGAACCCCCTTCACCAGAGATGGAAGTGGCTTAGTTGGTGGCGGCCTGTGAGAGGCACTCTACCTGCAGCCTCTCCCCCAGCCCTGGTGAGAATCCTGCAAGGCTGACTGTCCGCATTTCAGATGGGACACCGAACCAGGCTCAGAGCTTCCAGTCTGCCTCTCTAGTGTATCAGCCCCACACTTCGAAGAGCTCTCCTGTGCCCCTGAACCTGAGTTTTCGATGGGGTCCTTCCTATCTAAAGCCCAGCATCCCCATCAGTGAAGCGGATGCTACCATCTGCTGTTTTCCTAAGTTTTTTTTTTGCAGCAGCAGAACCTCGTCTCCAAGCCAGCACTTCTGCTGGACCCTCCTGACAAGAAATGGCTGAGGGTAGGATAGCTCTGGCCAAAAATGATGGAGGGGGACCGAGAACTCAGATAACCCACTCTTCCATCTCTGGCCAAGAACTGAGGCTGGATTCAAAGACTCAGAATCTCCCCTGGGTTGTCCAGTGGGGTTGAAACTCAACTCCAAAGCCCTCCTCCCCAGCTCAAATCTGTTTCTTTTTTTTTTTTTAATTTGTTTATTTTTAATTGAAGAATAATTACTTTACAAAATTGGTTTGATTTCTGCCACACATCAACATGAAATAGCCATAGGTATACATATGTCCCCTCCTCTTGAACCTCCTTCCCACCTGCCACCCCATCCCACCCCTCTAGGTTGTTACAGAGCCCAGTTTGAGTTCCCTGAGTCACACAGAAAATTTCCATTGGCTGTCTATTTTACATGTGGTACAAACCTGTTTCTTCCCTTCTATTATCTCCATGGCTATCCCCTAAGCTGCCACAGTCAGCTCTGTTCCAGATAACTGTGCCTGTCTCCGCGAGGTTTCCTGGCCCTCTACCCCACCACCCCCCCCCCCGGCAGACCCCCAATAAGCCCCACTCCATAAAGGAGCTGGAGCGTACTTTAAAAGACAAACCTCTCCAGCCCACATGGCACACCCCCACCCTGGGTACCAGCCCCGGCTCTGTGGCCCGACCTCACCCCAGGGCCTTTGCACTTGCTGTGCCCACAGTAAACGGCTCTTCCTCTAGATCTTCCACATAGCTGGTCCCTCCCACCCCTCACCACCACCCACTTTTCCACTTACTTTCTTAATTGCACAGCACCAGATCCCCCCACCAGCTTGTGTGGTAACTCACCTCCCTCTTAGCTCGGATGTGGGCTTCTTCTGGGCCAACACCTGCCTTCCCGACCACTACACCCTAAGACCCAGCCCAGCACATGTCTGAACAAGCAGACCATTCCCCCCAGGACAGTGGTAGCCCCCAGACCCCAGCCAGGGTACAAGGATGGCTGGAGATGTGCCAGGATCCCCAGGAGTGGGGTGGTCAGACACCTCCTGCTTCCAACCTGGGCAGAAGAGAGGTGTCAATTTTAAAAAGTCTTCCTGCTTAAGGGTGCTTGGAAATGGAGCCCACCCTCACAACTGCGCAGCTAGATAAGAGGGGGCCAGAAAGACAGTCATCTATCTAGCATCTTCTGGCCAGAAGAATCTCTTCTCCAAAATGACCCCAAGGCCAGGTAGAGAATGGACGCTCACTGTGCTCTTGGGGCTCTAGGGTCCAGAGAATACAGGGGAGGGAAGGCAGGGTGGCGAGAGGGAGGTGGGGTCTGAGTGGGCTGCCTGCAGGAAGCCACGGTCTCTCCTTCTGTAAATGAGGAACATCAACCTACAGGGAGGTTCCCGGAGCACTTCCCACCCAGAACTAACGAGCACTTGCGTTTGGTCATTGGTTTCAGGTCTTTTTAAATAAGGAGATGAAGGTGACAGGGATGGCTGAAGGTCCCTATGTCCGTTTGGCATCCTTCCCCCCTTCCAGCCTCAGAGGCTCTGCTGTCCTAAATTGGGGGGAGGCATCTAAACATTGGCTTCTGGGACACCTTGAGTGCTGCCAGGTGGGTGTAGAATAGTTCCATAAATGACAGCTGTGGTCAGTGTCGCCGGGCATCTTGTGTTTTTCCACCAGAGTCGGTTTTGATACAAGCACATCACCTCAGGTAGTTCATCCGTTTTCCCAGTGGACAAGGGAATGACCGTGTGTCTGTCCCGTCCCTATCTGAGTGTCCAGGTGTGGCCCTGGGCACCCTTGTTGGAGGGGAGCTCGTGGGTAAGAGGTTCTTGAGAGAGGCTGAGTGGAGCCAGCCACACAGGGAGCCTTCTGGGAAGGCAGTATCTGGGGGCGGATGCTGGGATGGAGTTTATGAGTGGGGGTCGTTCCTTTGGCTGCTGGGTGGGGGGAAGGCTGGTGAGGAGGGTGGCTCTGGAGAGCTGACGGCCTGGCCCTGTGGGTGGTGGAGAGGAGGCAGGAAACGTGTGGGCGAGAGAGTCCCTGAGGAGCCTAGGTGGTGCTGGCGGTGGATTAGCCCAGGGTGGAGGGCTGACGTAAGGCCTGGAGTGGAGGGCTTCTCCCAGCCCCCAGCGCACAAGGCTCCAGGGGCTCTGGGGGGAGGGGGAGCTGAGCAGGGAGCCCCTCTTACCTTGATTCTTGGCCAGTTACAGTAACTCTTGATAATGAAGGTGGCATTGCGGAGTTTCCATCTGGGAGGCCCCGGTACCCCATCCTGCCCCTACTCCATGCGCAGCTGCAGGGAGGCCCACAGGCACTTCTCCCTGTAAGCACCCCCGGTCCAGGCACCCGGGTCCAGGCACCCCGCATGCTGCAGGTCACCGGTCCTTCTGGAGGGGCGCCCTCCAGTGCATCCCCTGCTCCCTCCCGTCTCCTGCCCTCTTGCAGCGGGGATCCCCTCGGATGGATGGGCTCTTCATTCTGTAGGTCATTTGCTGACCAGGGCTGGGGCAGGACCGGGATTTGGACCCACAGCCCAGGCCCTTTCCCACAACCCCACTCGGGGCCTGGACAGGGGCCCCCAAGCCAGAAGCGCCCCAGAGGGGAGAGCTCTGGAGGTGCCCAAACCACCAGCCCAGGCTTCAGGCAAACAAAACTGCTCCCGATTCTCTGAGACTTGTTCCAGATAAAAATGAAAAGTACTAGCACGTAAGGTTTTTGGTTTCAGCAAACCTGAAAACCTTCTCTGGCTTCTCTATGCTCTTGGGATAAAACCCCAAATCCTTAACATCAGAACAGTAGGTGCTTACCTTCTGCAGCGCTTCCCCGACATCCCCAGGGGGTTCAGGATCCATTCCTCCAGATGGCTGAGGGCCCAGTGCTAGGTAAGCTCAAGAGTGAGATGAAGTCCCTGCCCGCCCAAAGCGACATTCAGTGGGGGCTGCAGGCAGTAAGCGGAGAGCCTGGTGTCAAACGGAGATAAATAAAATGATGGGGGCGAGGGGAGACTGGAGCAGGGCTGGGGTTAGAAGTGATAAAGACGTCTCTTACAGGTGACAGTGGGGCCATGAGGGTCTCTAGCTGAAGTGCCCCGAGCAGGGAAACGGTCTGTGCAAAGGCCCTGGGGTGGAAAGGTAGTGAGTGGTTAGTGTGGGGGGGGGGAGGGGGGAGTAGAGACGGGTCTGCATGCGGAGTGCTGGTGGGGAAGGAAGGAAGCAGCCTTGTTGAAGTCCAGGTAAGTGATGGCGGCAGCCTGGCCCCAGAGTGTGCTGAGGGAGGCGGGGAGAAGGCTCAGGATGAGGAGAGAGGGCTTTTTCCCTAAGTTCTTTCCCCTAAATTCGGTAAAATGTAGTGATCCCTGGAGGATAGCTGGGTGGGTCTTCACACTTACACCACACACTTGTGTGTTCAGACCACCAGGTTGGGGAACCGGAGGGGAAGGGGAGGATAGGAAGCTGGGGTGGGGCTGGGCCTTTAAGATACCAAGTGGGCAGTGGACACTGAGTTCTGAGCAAGCCTGTGGGCAGCTGCAGCAGTCAGTCATCCAAGCAGGAGGGGAGGCCACCCAGGGAGAGAGAAGGAGAGCAGGCGGGAGTGGGTTCCCAGACCTGTGTCCCACCTAGGTCACTTGCCACCCGAGGGTGGAGGGTGAGAGGTGATGGAGGAGGACACGGTGGGCTGGCAGCCTGACCCCTTTGTGGGAGCCAGCATGTTCTTCAGAGGACTCCAGAGCCCTGAGGAGAGTCTCTGCCCTTGGTGGGGGTGGGGGATCTGCAGCTCCCCCCCCCCCGCTTCCCTTCTGGGGGAGCCTACCCGGGCCCCCTCCCCGACTCTGTCTTACTCCTTGTCTCTGGGTGTCTCATCCCCTGGCCTTTCCTGCTCCCTGCACTGCCCCCCAAGGTGACCGGGTCCAGGTGGACCTCTCACCGCCTCTCTCTGCCTGCAAGGTGAGGAAGTGAGCTGGCAGGAGCTGCTCAGGTCTGCTCTGGCCCCATCAGCTTTTTGTGTTCATTCTTGTACTGATGGGCTTGGACCAGGCGGATGCAACTGGGTGGATGCAGACCACTGGTGAAGGCTCAGGAGGCCTCTAGAAAGCCAGGGGGCTCTGAGTGAGTTGGACAGACGAGCACCGAGGCCGAATGGTGAGGAAAATCGCTGGGCCTGAGAAAGGAGGATGCTGAAGACTCTTGGGTGCGATGTTGGAACCTGGGGTCGCCTGGGCCTTGAGGAGCTACTGAGGGGAGTGTGATGACAAGGCGGGGACCTTGGCTAGTCTTGGGGGAAACCCACAAATCCCACCTCTCAGCGCCCCGCTTCTGTCATTCCCGCAGCTGTCACAGTTCGGGGTGTAATGCAAGCTGTGGACATACCTTGCCCCGGGACAGCTGCCCACCCTGACTCCCTAATAGCCCCCCTTGTCCTCCTGTGGCATACACTGCCTTCCAGCCCACCAGATCACTTACGTTCTCCTTCGTATTGTTGCTCCTCCATCTCTCCCCTTAAGCTGGTAGCCTCGGACAGGAGTCTGTGGCGGTCACTACTCAGGGAGGCGCTGCGTGAATGAGTGTTGAATGAATGAAGGGATGGATGGGTGAAGAAAGGAAGAAGGTCCACTACAAGGGCAGAAGCCGTGGGGCTGAGGCCAGGACAGAAGGACCTCGCTGCAGTTTGGAGCCTGGGTGGTCTGCTGAAGGGGCTGGGATGGGAGGATTGAGCAGCCTGGCTGGGAAGAACGAGAGAAAACGAACCTGAGTCAAAGCACAGTTGTTTTAAGATGGGGCTGTCAGCCAGAGGAGGGCGGCCAGCTGAGGGGGCAGGCATCTGGAAGGGCCTCCAGCTTTCACCAGAGCAACCTCAGGCCGGCCCTCGGGGAGCCTCCAGTCTCGGACCCAGACTCCCCTCAGTCCGTCTGGGGCCTGGTTGGGCAGTAGGAGGACCCTGGGGTGCCCCGAGGGGCTGGGATGGTAGAGGGTGACTGGGTGACCCCAGCGGCTGGGCGTTGTCCCTCTGCTGGCTGGTGTGGCAGACAGACTGGGGAGTGGCGGAGGCCAGGGATGGAAAGGCCTGGAAGGCAATATGGATGGTCTGGCTTCCTTGTGTGGCCCGTGAGTGGCACTGCTGGTTGGAGCGTGGCCCATGCTCTCGGCCTGGGTGGTGGCCGAGCCGGTGCGTCCGTGGGTGCTGGGCGCGTGGGCGTCTGGACAAGGCGGTGTTGTGACAGCTGAGTGGCACTGTTGGCCCTGCCTCCCGTCCCCCAGAGTCTCCTAGGGGCAGGCACGGGTGTGTCATGGCCGCCACTGGTGGGTGCACACTGGCCCTAGAGAAGGACGGGGTCCAGGGGGCCTGGAGGAGGAAGACCTCGGTCAGAGAGCCGCTCTCTTTTCTCGGCAACTGAGGCTGGGCACGCACGAGGCACTGGGCCCTGGCCACGTGGACCAGGGTGCCTGCCGGGAGGCCTGCCCAGAGCGCGATCGGGGATGGAGCCCAGGAGCCCCTTCTCCTAGCAGAGGGCCTCTGGGGTCAAGGCTGCTCAGAGGTCTCGGGATTGGTGGGACAGGCCCCGGACTTGGTCCATCCAGGGGGTGTTGAACGAAACAGATTTTGACTTGGAAGTGGGTCTGGGGACTCCAGGGGCCTGCAGGCTGGGTGCTGATGTGGAGGTGGTCAGGCTGAGCAACTGGCATGGAGGCCGTCTATCTCTTCTGAGGAGTGGGGGAGCTGGGACAGCGGGGGACCAGTGAAGGGGAGGGAGTGAGGCTGGCGGGAGGGGGCATGGGGGGGGCCTTCTCCACCTTCCCACCAGGAAGGCAGGCACTTGGCCTGAGAGCCCCTCCCGGGGACCCTTGGGGCGGGAACTGAGTCTGGCCCAGGCCTCTGACCGGCCCTACCTGACCGCCTGCAGGTTGGCGTTGTACGTGTATGAGTACCTGCTACACGTCGGTGCCCAGAAGTCAGCCCAGACCTTTCTGTCTGAGGTAAGCTGGCCCAGCCAGGCAGGGACCCACACACCAAGACCCTTCCTTAGCCCCCGCACCCTGGGGCCTCCCTACCCCATTTTTGTCAGGTCTTCTGTGGTAGGGTCAGGTCACGCCCTGGAAGCTGAGGGCTGGGCTGGGGCTGGGCCTGCAGATGGGCATCCTGGCATCTGTCCATCCATCTGAGGATCTGCCTCCCGCTTCTCCGCGGGCTCATCATCAAGCTGCCCCCCTCCTGGCTCCCCGGCTCTGACCCACTGGTTTCCTGCCCCAGTGTTCCCTGGGCCCCCAGGCTGGGCTCGCGCTGCCTCTCGGGAGGGGAGGGGGTCAGACAGAGATGGGCAGCTAGCGCCTCACCTTCTTTCCTCTCCCCTGCAGATCCGCTGGGAGAAGAACATTACGCTGGGGGAGCCCCCGGGCTTCCTGCATTCCTGGTGGTGGTGCGTGCGAGGTGGTGCGGGCGGGCCTTGGAGGGGGCCTGGGTGGGGGGGCGTGGGGAAACCATCTCCCCCCCTGCCGCCCACAGCGTGTTCTGGGACTTGTACTGTGCAGCGCCCGACCGCAGAGAGGCGTGTGAGCACTCGAGCGAAGCCAAGGCTTTCCAGGACTACGTGAGTCCCGCCCCCGGGGTTGGGACCAGGGCTGGGCATGGGCAGGGGCCTGTGCTCTTGAGGGGGCTCCAGTGGGCAAGTGGGCCGGGCAGTGGGGTTTGACCTGAGACTGTGGCTTTTGTTGGGGGAGTCCTCCACTGCATCCAGCTCCTGCGGGTCCCCGTAAGCCCGAGGCCCTCTGGAGGCCAGCCCCTCCTTTGCTTCCCCTGGTGTGAACCCCATGTGGAACCCGATAGACCGAACCCCAGTTCCTGCCTCCCTGGCTGGCTGCCTCTTTGTGTGCAGGGTGGGGCGGGCCGTCCCCCACGCTTGCCCCCTCCCTGCTAGCCTTCCGAGGTGGGGGCCCAGGCAGGGGTGCACCCTGGCTTTGGAGAGGCCTAGCTTGGCAGACCTCCCAGCCTTGCTCAGCGACTGGGGCTGCTCACTTCGCCTCTTGGGCTTCGGGTTTCTGTGCAAGTTGAGGGGGAGTCAGTGTCGTCCAGAGCAGAGGCTGGGTAACAGGAGGGGGCCCACGTGGGAGGCGTTGGCTGCCTCCTGCCTTTACCCTCTTCCTCCCGGTTTGTGGGGCTTGCTCACCCAGCCCCGCAGAGACTCCCCCCTGCACTCCTGCAGCGGCCGTTCACCTCCTGAGCCCTCCGCTCCGCTGTGCCCCTGGGGCGGGGTGCCTCTCAGGGCCTGCCCTCCACCCTCCCTCTCTGCAGTTGGCGGGAGTCCCACACCAGGCACCGCCTCCCGACAGAAGCCGCCCCCCAGTACAGAAGGGCCAGGGCGCAGTCCGAAAAGGCCGGGGTTCACCGTGTCCCCGAAGGCGCCCCGGGCACGCCGTATGCGCTTTTATGGGGGGGCGGTCACTGCTGTTCACCCCCACCAAGCTCCACTGGCCATTTGGTGCGGCCAGAACGGGGGTAACAGGCGCGTCTGGAGCTGTGTGCGCATGTGACTCGGTGCGGGCCCGACCCCCTCGCCCCAGTGCACCCCACTCCTCCCAGTGCCTTTCCGGGGTCCCTGAGGGCTCAGTTCCACCTCCCGGCCGAGCAGCGCGCCCTGCCCTCTCCGCCCGGCTTCGTCCCCGCCCCCACGTCTCCGGGGGAGGGAAGAGTGCGCGGTCTCCCAGGAGTGAGCGCGCTTCCCGGAGCAAGCTGGTTACCATGGCGTCAGGGCGCGTCAAGGGAGGGGGGCGGCGCCCCGGCCGGCCCGGCTCCGGGGTGACAGGGTCCCTGTGTCAGCAGACTGAAGCCGGCTGCATGTTCTGCCCCACCTCCGCACTTACTGGAGGTGGGGTGAGGAGCGTCCTGCCGCCTCCCCCTCGCAGTCGGGGCTCCCTCCTCCCTTCCAGCCCCCAGCTTCTGAGGGGGCTCAGTCTGCGCCTCTGGGCTGGGGGCCGACCTCGGCGTCTCCAGGAAACAGGAGCGCGCCCAGCCTGTCGTCATGACAACGGGGCCCGGCTGGTGCCTCCGGGTGGATGATTGACGTGGGGGGTCCAGCTCAGGTCACCCACCGGGAAGGGTAGGCCCGACCCATACCCCCCGGATTAACCCTTCAAGGCCTAGATTTGGGGAGCCCCATCTTTTCCCCACCCCCACACCTCAAGGTCTGGAAAGCCAGCCACCCGCACCGCCAGCCACCTTCCCCGACCAGGAAATGCTCTGGCGCCGCCTGCCACGGCTCAAAAAGGGGGAGGGGGTGCTGCCCTCCCTGTGGGCTGGGGAGGGTGGACAGACCCAGGGCACAGAGCTGCTCCCCTCCGGCCAGGGAGAGACACGCGTCAAGGGGCCTCCAGAGAAGCGCTCCCCTCAGTGCCTGCAGCGTCCTCCCCCTTCCCTGTCCTTTGATGTATCTCCTCTGCCCTGAAGACTAGGCCTCTTTTTACCCCCTCCCCCTGCTCTTTGGGCCCCAAAGGCAGACAAGCCTGGGACTTGGAACCAGCTAGAGGAAGTGGCCTGTCAGCCTGTCCCCCTGCCAACTCTAGGCCTACCACCAGCATCTCCACCCTTGGCAGACACCAGAACTCCCCTCTCAGACACCGGGTCTTGTCCCCTCCTCCCTCTGAAGAGACTGGGGGCCTGGAGAGGCACTGGGGAGTGCTGCTCTTCCTTCCCCCTCCTTCCTGAAGGGTTGCTGGTTGCTCTGAGGGAACCCTCTGGGAGGGAGGTTCATCTCCAAGCTGCCTACTGATGTTTGTTGTTGATTTGAGGGGTCTTGGGGCCCCAGCTAAGCTGCCTTGCCAGCCAGAAGGATTCAGGGCTGGTTGGGATGGGCCGGGAGGGGGCGTCTGTGCCCCCACCCATCTGAAGTTGGATTCAGACCAAAAGAACAAGCCTGTGCTAGAAGGATGAAGCACACACTGGAGTTCTGGGCAGACCCCTAGAATCCTCAGGGTGGACTCACCGGGGGCTGGCGTCCCTGGCCACCTCCCTAGTCTGGGGTCTCCGCAGGTCGGGGCCCTGATCACCTGCGGGTCATGAGTGCAGCACAGAGGCAGAGCCCTTGCTCAGGGCCACTCAGCATATGGGGCTGCTAAGCCTGGCGGGGACAAGGACTCTGCTCAATGTTAGCCCCCCTGCCCAATCCTTCCATGCTTGAGTAGTTATATGGCTTGGGTTCCTTGTTCTGTGGGGCTGGTTGTTTGGGGAGAAGAGAAAAAACTGGTTCAGAAAGTGACCGGACTTGGGTCTTGCCATCTCTCCCGCTCCTGCAGAGCGCTGCTGCGGCTCCCAGCCCGGTGATGGGGAGCATGGCCCCCAATGATGCAATGGCATCAGGCCCCATGGCACCCGGCTTCTTCCAGGTACAGCCAGGGCTGGGACCCCCTGTCTGCCTGGGTGGGCAGTGACAGGGTGGGTATATACTGTGCTGTCCCCTGGTAGGGCCAGAGAGAGGGGTGGAGCTGCCTGGGCCCCAGTGCCAAGGAGGGCGGGGGCTCTGCACTAGGACTGCTCGCGTGTCAGGGTGCCTGGGGCCGCAAAGCTTGGCTCTCTGAGCCAGGCGTCCTGCCCGTAACCCTACCTTTAGAGTCCACACCCGGCCCCTCCCCTGCCACATCCCGCAGAGGGGGCTAGCTGGCCCCTTCTCCTGCCTCCACGGTGTCCCCGCCCCTGCCCTGCCAGGCTCAGCAGAGCCACAGGAAACCGTGGAACTTTGGGTGACCTCGCTCTTCCCAACCCACCTGGTTCTGTCCTCCTAGGGCCCCCCCGGCTCCCAGCCTTCCCCCCACAACCCCAACGCCCCCATGATGGGGCCTCATGTTCAGGTAAGGACTTGTAACGCCCCGCCCCTTCGCGCACGCACACCCTTCCCCGGGGCCCCTGGGCGAGTACCACTGAGCTAGGCACCCGGGCACCGCGGGCTGAGGTATGCCAGCTGGTGCTGGAGGAAGGCTGGGGGCCCGGCGGCAGCAGGAACTGGGTAGCTTTGAGGGCTGAGCAGGTGGGGGGAGGTGCTGATCCCCGGCCCACCTCTTCCAGCCCTTCATGTCACCGCGGTTCCCAGGGGGCCCCCGGCCCACCCTGCGGATGCCGAGTCAGGTGAGAGGGGGATGTGGGGAGGGGGGCAGGAGTTGGGCCGGGGTGGGGGCACCCCCACTCAGTGCTGCCACTCCCCATCCGCAGCCTCCCGTGGGCCTCCCCGGCTCCCAGCCCCTCCTCCCTGGCACCATGGAGCCCTCCCCGCGAGCTCAGGGTGAGTAGGGAAGCTCCAGCTGCTGTCCCCCCCCCAGCCAATCAGGACCCCAGAACCAGGAGCCCCCCCTCCGACATCACAGCGCGTGTCCTCGCGGGGAAATGGGCCAGACCTGAGCCCACTCTTCCTTCTGCCCCCAGGGCATTCGAGCATGGGCCCCATGCAAAGGGTGACGCCTCCCCGGGGCATGGCCGGCGTTGGGCCCCAGGTAAGGGCCGCCCGGGTGATGGGAGCTTCAGGGGCTGCCCCGCTAAGCCTGCACTCACAGGCCCCTTTGCCTTCGCAGAGCTACGGAGGTGGCATGCGGCCCCCACCCAACTCTCTTGCTGGTCCCGGCTTACCCACCATGAACATGTAAGGCCCTCAGGGACCCCTAGGAGCGAGCCCAGGCGGGCAGCACCCCACTTCACGGGCTGGGGGTACTGAGGCAGACCCCACACAGCAGTTCCTGGCAGTGTTGACTTCTCTGCTGGGTGGGGAAGCTCAGGCTCAAAGACCAGTGAGCCATGACTGGCTTGGGATTTGAAGCCTGGCCTGGAATCTGCATGGCCAACAGCTGCTGCTCTGAGGGCACCTGCGGTAGAGTGGGTGTCAGGGAGTGTGTGCTGGGGGGCAGGGTACCACCGGGCTGAGACCCCGGGTCCACCACTGTCTCTTCTAGGGGCCCCGGAGTGCGCGGCCCGTGGGCCAGCCCCAGTGGCAACTCGGTGAGTATCCGGGAGGGGTGTGGGGTGATTAAAAGCCGGCGGGGTGGTGGAGTGGGCGGACTGCTCACAGCTGCGCCTCTCCCCAGATCCCCTACTCCTCCTCCTCCCCCGGCAGCTACTCGGTGAGTGGGGCCTAAGCTGGGACACCTGGGGCCTGAGCGCAAGGGTTGTGGGGTGATACATGGGGGGAGGGGGGACTTTCTCACCGTCTGTGCCTCCCTCTGTGTGCAGGGACCCCCAGGAGGAGGTGGGCCCCCTGGAACCCCCATCATGCCTAGCCCTGGAGGTACGACAGCCTGAACGGGGCATAGGGAGGGCTGTGCTTGGTGGGGAAGCCCCTCTGACACCCCGCCCCCTCGTGTGCTGTCTCAGACTCCACCAACTCTAGCGAGAACATGTACACCATCATGAACCCCATCGGGCCGGGCGCCGGCAGGTCTAATGTAAGCAGTGCTGGCGGGGGTCGGGGCGCGGCGGTGGTTGGTTGGGGGCGGGGAGCCGGTGGCCGGAGGCCCAGGCTGTTTCTCTGCCTGCAGTTCCCGCTTGGCCCTGGTCCGGAGGGCCCCATGGCCGCCATGAGCGCGATGGAGCCTCACCACGTGAACGGATCCCTGGGTGAGTGGGCGTCCGGGGACGCCGACACCCTCACGCCCGTCCCCACCCCCCTGCTCCGCGAGCCTCGTGCGCCCCCTGGCGGCCTCCTTCAGCCCGTCCGCCTCTGTGCTGGGCGGGCATTGAAGGCGCCTTTGCTTCTCTGGGCTGCTGGGTGACCGGCTGAGCTGGGGGAGGGTCCAGCAACGAAACCGTGGGGAGGCCTGGCCGCCAGCCCTGACGCCGCCCCATCAGGGCCCTCCCAATGGGCTGGGCCGCGGGAGGGGACGCGGCCGTGGGGGTGGGGGGGGGGCGGAGTTTGCGGAGGGGTTGGTGGAGCGGACTTGGCGGCGCCGGCGCGTCTGAGCCGCGTGTCCGCCGTCTGTCGGTCCACAGGCTCGGGCGATCTGGACGGGTTGCCGAAGGTGAGGGGGCGGCGCTCGGGGAGGGGGGGTGGTGGCGGGGCTGTGGGGGCGGCCAGGTGGGAGAAGCAGAGTCCCAGCGGGGCCGTGCGGCCGGTGTTCGCGCTGACCTCGGCCGCCCCCAGAGCTCCCCCGGCGCCGTGGCCGGCCTGAGCAACACCCCGGGCACCCCGCGGGACGACGGCGAGATGGCGGCCGCCGGGACCTTCCTGCACCCGTTCCCGAGCGAAAGCGTAAGCGACTGCGTCGACTCCCCCCCCGCGGCGGCGTCGGGCCGGAGGGGCCTGGCGGGCAGACCCCGGCGGGGCGGCCGGGGGGCCAGAGCAAGACCGTGACCGCGGCGGGCCAGGTGGGGGGGCGGCCGCGGCATCCTTCCCTTCCTCCTCCTTTCCCCTTCCCCCCGGCCCGCCCCGTCTCATCACCCCGTCCACATCCCACCCCCAGCCCTGGGACCCGTGGCTCCCCCACGCACCGCCACCTGATCCTGTCCTCTCCCCCTGTCCACACCTCCCTGTCCCCCATTCCCCCCGGGGGGCGGGTCCCAGCCTAGGCCGGAACTGAGCCGGCCCCCGCGCGCCACCCCCTCGTCTTTCCGCAGTACTCCCCCGGGATGACCATGAGCGTGTGATGGGGCCGCAGACCCTTGCCCACTGCCGGCCTCGGCTTCTGCCCAGCGCCCCTGCCGGGGGCCAAGGTCCAGGGGCTCGGGTGGTCCGCAGGGTGAGGGTCTGAGGTCACACCGCGGGCAGCTGGACTCCCAGTCAAGGCTTGGATGGCTGGGAGGCCCCGCACCAAGGACTTATTCATTTTATATATATATATATATAAAAACAAAACACACAAGGACCTCAGAGACATTCTTTCCTGTTTGGGCCCTTCCCATCATTTCTATTTTGTCTTGGGGGGGCGCTCCTTGAGGGACCTTCCTTTCCCCTGGACAGCAGGGGTGGGCCCCATCAATAAATGTAACTTGATTTTGGTTTTTGGTATCTGGTCTCAAATTTCTTCTTTGGCTCGCAGCAGCCATACCCTATTTATTAGCCTAGCCTTCAAGGGTTGTGGTTAGGCAGAGCCGCCCGCTCCTACCCCCTCCTCCCAAGGGGGGCGGGGGCGGTTCTGGAAAGTTCCGGAGAGTTGGGGCAATAGAGTTGGGAAGGGGAGGTAGGAGTCTACTGATGAAAAATGGAGATGGGGCTGGAGTTGGGCGGGTTTAGAGTGGCAGGCGCCAAGAATACAGATGTGGCTCATAGTGGCACTGGCTTTATTGTCTTCAGGTGGCCTAGAAGGGTCGGGTCCTGGGGAGCAATGGGGGCAGGAGTTACAGGGGAGTCATAACTCCTAAGGCCAGGGCCTTAGGTGGTGGGCATCTGGGGTGCCTCAGCCTGTGAGTGCCCATTGGCATCACCAGTACAGCCATTGGGTGCTGTCGGCACAGATCCTTTCTTGCAAAGCACCGGGGAGGCGGTGGCCAAGGGCCCAACTCTCTTAAGGCCAGGGCGTTCCATCTTGTGCTCCAGAAGCATGTGGTTCTGCGGCGGGAGCCCCACGCAGGCCCTGGGGGATGATCAGGGCTCAGCGGGGCTAGACCTGGAGACTGCCGTGCAGTCCCTAGGCCCTGTGCACAGCCCCTCCAGCGGACATCCTGGCCGTGGATGGGGACCCCCAAGGCTGGGGCACACCTGAGGATATTCTCGATGCAGCTGCGCTGGCGGAAGAGCGCATTGACCACGGGGCTGCCGGGTGGTGCAAGTGGCGCCTTGAAGAGGAAGCCGAGCAGCGACAGCACCGGATGGAAGCTCTGCGGGTCAGGGTCGATGTCGGTGCAGAAGCTCACTCGCTGACACAGTTCAGTCAGCAGGGCCAGGTCCAGCATGATGGGCGCGGCCAGGAGCGAGTCCTAGGGGGCCAGCGGGTCAGGAGGTGGGCCGGGTTGGCGGCCGCCCCGCTGCTCCTGCCCCCTCGCGCCCCACACCTCGCACGTGTTGTGCAGCACCAACGTGTTGGTACCACCCAGCATCAGCTCCGATGTGTACTCATCCAGGGCACGCTTGCTGTCGCCCACGTATGGCACGTATTTGATGACCACCTGGGGGGCGGCAGGAGGTCACACGGGTCCCTGCCCTCGGTTGGGCGCGCCCTCGCCCCGGCCCCTGCCCCCACTCCCGCGCCCCACGCACGCAGTGGTCGGGCTGCTCGCCCGGCGAGTAGAGCACCGGGTTGCTGTGCACCATGTCGTCCACCACGCTGCTCTTGGACACCTCCTTGGAGCGGAACTGTGGTGGCGCGGACAAGTTCTGCCCATCGTTGTTGCCCAGGTGGTTGTAGCTCACGATGGACATGGTCTGGGGGGACAAGGGGACCGGCGGTAGCTGCAGGCCTCGCAGCACACAAGCCCATCCCTCGGGGGTTCAGGCCCCCGCTTCCTGAGCTGAGCAGTCCCCCAGGCCCACACACCTTGAGGCCAGAGCCGATAAGAAAATCCACGAGCACAGACTTAACCTTGGTCTGGCCTGACTTGAAGTCGTCTCCACCCACAAAAACGCGGCGCTGCCACGCGAGCTCGAGGGCACCGGGTACCAGCGTGTTCTGTGGGGACCCATTGAGGAAGGCACAGCCCTCCAAGATGCTGGCCACGGCAAAGAGTGTGGAGGGCGACACTTCCAGGCCCAGCTGCGGGCAGAGGGGGCCAGTCAGCACAGAGGAGTGCCTGGGGGCTGGCCCTGATCCCACTCCGCCCCACCACCTGGATGGTGCGCAGCAGGTTCTCAGCGGTGTCATTGAGGCCCGGAATCACTTCGCAGAAGCGCTCCGTGTTCGCTGTCCACAGCACGATGACTTTGTCCAGGCCGGCGCTAGACCGGAAGTCGCGGATGTCCCTACGGATCTGCTCCAGCTGGGGATGGGGAAGGTGAGGGGAGGTTGTACAGGCTCCTCCGACCTGTGGAGGCCTGGGCTACTCAGTTTCCCAAGTGCGCTGGACCCTCAGGATGGGAGCGTGGGGACAAAAGAAGAGCAGGTGCGGGGGGCGGGGTGGACAAATGGCTGGGAAGAACAAGTGGCAGGGGATAAGGGGCACGGGGAGGGGCTGCACCTGCTGCGCGCGCGTGCCCGGGATGACGTTGTCGGCGCGCGCGCTCTGGTTAGCTGCGATGAACTCCGGGATGTAGACAGAGGGCCGCGGGCGCATGGCCTCCATGTGCGGCCAGAGTTGCTCCTGCAGTCCCCAATCCAGTACCTGTGCGCGCCGCATTGCCTCCGCCAGGTTCAGCGAAGATATGTCCCAGCCTGGGGGGTACCTTCAAGCTCGGCCCGGCCCCAAGCCTCGGCCCCGCCTCCCGCCCCACCCCCGGCCCAGGGCACCGCCCACCGTCGAACACGAGGTCGTCGGGCGCCACCATGGGCAGCAGTGAACTGAAGGGCACGAACACTTCCTTGCCCTCGGCGTCCAGGCCCAGGCTAACAGTGCCGGCCTGCGTCAGCGAGCCGTAGTAGTTGGCCTCCTGGGGGGCGGCAGTGGGAGCGCAGTGAGAGGTGGGCGTGGCGTGGGGAGGGCCTCGAGCAGGCCAGGGCCCCGCCCGGCACCAGCAAGCTCCGCCCTGCTTTGGGCACCTCCCCTCGGAGCTCTAAGCCCAGGCGGAAGCCGCTCCGCTCGGGAGGTCCCACCCTGAAGCCCTCCCACACCTTAGGCTCCGCCCCCGCAAGACCCCTGAGGAATCCCCGCCCCCCATGGAAACCCCGCCCGGAGTCCGCCCGCAGCCAGAAACCCCGCCCCCTGTGGGCCCACTCCTCCGTAGGAGCCCCTCCCCCGCCGCAGGGATTCCAGCGAAGCCCTCTCTCCGACCGAGCCCCACCCGACTCCCCACCTTGCGGCCGGTGCGCGTGGGCCAAGATAAGCGCAGTCGGTTGGCCAGCACGGCAGCGGTCAGCGTGGAGCCGTTGTTGCCGCCCCAGCCGACGAGCATGACCCCGAGCCGGGGCACCTGCCGGGCGGTCCGGAAAGTGAAGCGCGTGGACGTGGGGTGCACCTGGGGGTGGGCAGCGGGGTGAGCCAGGGACCGCAGGCCCCTCCCCGCTCGCTACTACTGGGTCGGGGGTCGCAGACGTTGGGCAGTTCCCGCTCCCTCCCCGCCCCCTGACTCCCCCAGCCCCGTGGCCCGCCGAACGGCCCCTCGCCTACCTTGAGGATGCCGCCCTCGCGGCTGACGCTTGTCGTCCGGTACTCGTACTGCGCCTCGATGGTGTCGGGGCTGTAGATCACGTCGGGGCTCTCGACCACGAACTCAGTTGCGGCCTCCATCGCGACAATCTGGGGGCGCGGGGTTGGCAGGAGGTCAGCGGGGTCCCAAGAACTGGCTGGGCCAAGCCGACTTCGGTCCCCGGGGAGCCTGCACCCCTCCCGGGGCGGCACTCACCGATGCGGAGTCGGCTGGGGCAGCGGCAGACGGCTAGGGCTCGGGGAGCGCGAACTCCAGAGAAAAGAGCCGTGGCTCCACCCCCGCTCCGCCCCTCGCCCCGCCCGCTCGCGGGAGGAGGGGCGCTCGCGGCGGGGGTAGGGCGCGCACCGACCTTGGGCTCGGGTTCGAGGTCTTTCGGTCCCAAGCCTCCGCCGCTGTCTGGTTCTTGGCCGGTCGGGCAAATAACCTGGGCTCCAGGCCCCGGCCCTAACTCGGCCCGCGTGAGTCACTTAGGAACCCCGGCCGCCTATCCCCACTGTACAAAAGAGGGCTTTAAAGCTGTAAGGGAGCGCCAAGCCCCAGCCACGAGGCAGAGTTTGAGTTAGGCTTGGAAACTCATTATTTGGTGGGTTGGAGGAAGGGGCGTCTCTGGAGAAACTAAGGCAAGGGAAACTGAGGCAGAAGACCAAGCGAGGAATCGGATTTCAAAGCGTGACACTCGTCCAGCCCAGGCTCCCTCCTCTTCCCCTTCTGGAGCAGCGGTCAGACTCTCCACTCCCACGGGGCTCGCCCCGGAGAGGGGGTAAGGGGGTGGCTGTGAGTTCTCGGTGCCCCCACCTGTAGCAGGAGGCCTATCAAGCCTATCAAGGTCAGGGCTGCGGTGGGGGCAGGGGGAGAGACTGCTCCGTGGGGAAGCGAGGGAGCATCGCCCGGGCAGAGGCGGCCATCTGGGAGGAGCCAGGCCTGCACAGCTCTGAGCCCCTCTAAGCGCCCAGTGATAAAGGAGCGTGGGAACCCGGCAGGCGGGCGGGGGCGGCTCCCCCAGGAACTTTCCAAAACAAGCGGCCTCCTCCGGCTGGAAAGTTTCCACCCCTGGAACTGACCCAAAAGGTGGATAGTTGGGAACGTTTGCAGGAAACATGGTCAGCGCCTGGCCTTCGGAAATGGGGGCTCTCAAACTAGTCCAGACTTTGCCCTCAAGGGGCTCCAGTTGTGGGGGAGTCAGAAGTGAACTGGGGGGACTTCTCTGGTGGCCCAAGGGTTAAGAATCTGCCTGCCAATGCAGGGGACATGGGTTGGATCTCTGGTCCAGGAAGATTCTACATGCCACAAGGCAACTAAGCCTCTGCACCTCAACTACTGAGCCTGCGCTTCGGAGCCTGTGCTCCGCAACAAGAGAAATCACTGCAATGAGAAGCCCCGGCTCGCCACAGCTAGAGAAAGCCTGAGCACCACAATGAAGTCCCAGCACAGCCAAGAATAAGGAAAGAGAAGTGAGGGGGGCATTCCCAACCAGAGGGACCTAAGAGGCAGTGGTGGGCAGGGCAGGCTGCCTTCAAGAGATGGCTGCTGGACGGTGTCTTGAGATAATGAAGACATCTCTTATCAAAGAAAGATATGAAGAACTGCCTAGACAAAAACCTGGGGGACTGGTTTCAGGGGCAGATGAAAAAGGGCTGGATGGATGCGAGGGGGAGGGAGGCAGCTTGGGGACCAAGGCAGACCCTCAGGCCTGGGGACAGGGCATTTGGTATATTTGGGTTTTGTTCCACTTTCTGGCTTGGAGATTGAGTTTGATCACTAATTGCCAGGGGCTTCCCTGACAGTCCAGTAGTTAAGACTCTGCATTTCCACCGCAGGGGGCTGGGGTTCGATCCCTAGTCAGGGAACTAAAATCCCGCATGCCCAGAGGTGTGGCCTAAAATCAGAAGACAAAAAAAAATGATCAATGGCCAGTGATTTATTCAATCATGGAACCTCTGTAAAAGCTCCTAAACAATGGGGTGCAGGTGAAAACATGGAGATGCTGGGAGAGTGACGCCTGGAGAAGTCATGGCAGCCCTGTACCATTCCGCACACCCCGCTCTCCTGTTGAACTGTTTGAGCACTGTGAGCCATTCTAGCAAACCTCTGAGGGGGTGTGAGGGAACCCTTGATTTATGGTGGGTTGTTCAGAAGTATGGGTGGCCAAGGACTCGAGGCTGCTGTCTGAAGTGGGGACCTGTGCACCATAACCTGGGGACGGAACTGTCTGACCCCTGGTTGGTATTGGAGAACCTGCAGGAGCTGGAGCTCTCCAGGCCACAAGTCACACCACAGAACTGTGTAAAGACCCAGCCCTGGGGAAGCCCAGCATTTACAGGGCAGCCTGTGGGAGGTGCTGGCAGGAGGGGTGTGGGCAGAGCAGGCCCAGGCAGGCTCCCTGGAGGGGCCGTGTTGGAGTAGTTCCGGCTACTGCTAACACTACTAGTAGTAACTACCAGTAGGGACCAGCTGGGGGTGTGACACGGGGTGAGTGTGCTGCCTGCGGGTGAGCGCTGAATGACCAGGGACCCCCCACCCCACCAGACCGCAGGCTTCCAAGGGCAAGGGCAGAACTGTCGTGGCCACTGCTGAGTGCCCACGCCTGGAAGGAGCCCGGGGCATGGGAGGGGCTGATGCACCCAGGTGCTGGCAGATGTTGCCCAGCAAGTAGCAGGGACTGGTGGGCAGCCCTGAGCCCTGTGGCCGTGCTGTGGGTTGTGAAGGCGCAAAGTCCCCTGGAGACCTGGACTCGGTGTCTTGGGCTCAGAAAGGATGGTCAGGGAACTGCCTGTGGCCACAGGGCTGTGGGGGAGGCCGGTAGGCAAGGCGAGCCTGAGGCGAGACGAGGCTGAAGCAGGCAGGGGTGTGGGGTCAGAGATTTATCCAGTAGAACAACGTGGCGGGGCTGCCTAGGGAGCAGGGTACACTCTGCCCCGCAGGGCCTGCCTGACCTCCCCTCCCGCGCCCCTCAGATTCCTGGGCCGCTTCAGAACTCAGGCCAAGGCCACTGGCCAGCAGGGCCACCGGGGAGGCTAAGGCCCACAGTCCCTGACCCCTGGGCCCCTTTAGTCCTGGTCTTATTCTTTGTTTTTCCTTCCTAAAATAAACATTCCCCTCCACTGTGTCCTTGGAGGGTAGAAACTGCCCCCTGCCTTCTGCTCTTCACCTGGATGGCTCTCCGGCTGGTGTCCTGAGCCTGCGGGGCTCCACTGGGCCTCAGGCTCGGTACCCCTGTCCCCATGGCCGGGCAAGGGAAGCCCCACCCCCAGCCCAGTGTGCGGCCCAGGAGGACTAATCCAACAGTGCTGTTACCCAGTTGTTTCCATCAGCCAAAGCTCGTGAGCCCAAATCAAGCACTCCCTTTGCTGCACACGGCTCCACTACTGGGGGCTTTGGCCCTGGCGAGCCCTGGGGTCCCCCTGCCTGGCTCAGCCCACTCTGTGCACGCCACAGGGGCAGCGCTCTGCTTATGTGCCTCCACAGCTCCCCACGGCCTCCGCCTCCCGTCTGTCAGCTCCCACCTGCGAGCAGGCCGGCTGGTCTCCCGCTCTGGCACCTGCAGGGCCCTCTGCCTCAGGTCCGCCATCCACCGCCAACCTCATTCCTGGGCAGTGGCTGTGGTAGGCTGCCCGCCAAGCTTTCTCTGTGCCCAGCCCATGCCCCCCCCCCAGTCACCCCATGGCCAGGTGGCCTCCTGACCCCAGTCCCCCCACCCCTGGGGAATGACACATATACTCCCAGCTTGGGCTGACAGATTCAGTTCAGTGAATTTATTGTAGGTTGAAAAAAATCAGCATTCACCTGTTTAGTGTACAAAAAGGACACTAGATCTTTTAAGAAAATATTAGGAAACTGAAGATGCAGACGTCTTTCAATTGTAACATTTTGGCAAAAGTGAAAAGTTCTTGTAAACACCAACTCCATGGCTCAAAATAGTTTTTCTCCACAGTACAATATTAAAAGAAAAAAAAAACAGTATCAATAAGTTAGACCATATTTAATCAGCTAGAACTTTTGTCCATCAACCCCCGCCCCAAGCACAAAACTCCTCTTAGCTTCATAATTCCTTAAAAGGAGAAAATAAACAACAACAACAAAAAATGAGGAGGAGGAGGAAATTCAACTGAGAGTCCTTTGAACTGGACCCCAGGGCAGAGGGCAGGTGGGCCCTCTGGGGTGGGGCCCCTCGAGTGATCCCGTGCCACTCGAGTCTGCGCGTCCAGGCTGAGTACATGATGGCTGTTCACAGAACTCAGGGTCCCAGGTCTGCTCAGCCTGTCCCCCTCCATCCCAAATGAAAAACGAAACGACAGCTATTGAAACATAAAGGATCAGCTTCCTCAGCGCTCCGGGCACCCCAGGGGTGCTGGGGTGGGGTGGGGGCACTGCAGGCATGACTGCTCTTTGGGAAGCCATCAGGAGACACCCCCGCAGCTTAGAAAAATAGACATGTCTATGTGAGCATTTCCGCTCTCCCTGCCTCACTAGGATCCTGGCAGCAACCCCTGTCCCCGCTCCCCGCAGTGACCCCGGGGCTGGGGGTTGCAACCAGCCCCACGGCCTTCCTCCATCGTGGCTTCGCTGAACGTGGCTCTGAATTCACGTGAAGGCGCGCTTTAGACCCCAGCACGGCCTGGCAGGGCCCCGCGCGCGTGCGCGCGCGCACACACACACACGCACGCACGCACGCACACACACACACACACACACACGCCCCCTGGCGTGAACTTTCAGGGACATCAGACTAGGCACAGTGACTAAGCAGCAAATGGGTGTCCTGGGGCCAGCACCCCCAGAGAGGGGGATCAGGCACCTCTTCTGAGCTCACTCTCCGGGGGCTCCCTGGCCCCCTCGACCCCCAGCCCCTCCCTGAGTGCAAACCCCGTGGGGGCTCTGCAAAAAGGACCCCAGAACCCACACGTGGGGCCGAGGGGCGGAGCGAGATCCAGAACACGGGGACCACTTGGCCTCAGCAGTACCAAGTGAGGAGCAGCAGCGGAGAGAACGGGGAAGACAGCGAGAGAAAATCCGACGCTGGTGCTGCAGAGCGCGCTACAAGCACAGAAGCTCCCAGTGACCCCCGACAGCTGAGGGCCTGGAATAGCAAGGCGGGCCTGGTGGCTCCCAGCAGCTGCTCCTGGGCCAGCTGGAGTTTTCCAAATAGAGCTGCAGGGTTTGCACGGCCGAGCCCCACTCGGAGCCAGGGAGAGGGGGTGTGTGAGACCAGCGCAGGGGAGGGGCCCCTGGCGCCCCCCCACCGGTCCTCTCCTCCAAGCTCAAGCTCGCAGAGGCAAGGCCAGACTTCCGGAGCATCTGTAATACTGTAGAAAGGACCCAGGGCAGCGTCTAGACCCTGGGAGTCCAAGGAGGGGAGGCACAGGTGTAGAAAAAAGATGCTTTTTCTTTCGTACAAAAATAGACTTGAGTCTCGTCAGCAGTAGCCTGTCTTTGTATAAAACTAGAAAAGGCAAGCAGGCAGGCCGGCCTTGGAGTCTTTCTCTGACAAAAAGCTGAAGCCCCCTGTGGGGTGGCTGGCGAGGAGGTGGGCTTCTTGGGGAGCCCGTCCTAGGCAGGGGGGCTGTGCAGGAGGTATGGGGGACCTGGGGGGAGCTGGACACCCTACCTGGGCTTGTGTGACCTGTGGGCGGCCAGGCCCGCATGGGCTCCCCTGGAAGCCGGCATTGCTGGCTCAGATGACTCTGTTCTTCCTCACGTTTATTGTGTTAAATAAATCTCTCTTTTCTTGTCTTCAGCTCCCCCTTGCCCCCAGCTCCCCCACCATCCAGAACAGTCAGCCCGGTGAGGTGAGCCGGCCTGGCTCGCGCGCGGGACCTCCTGCGCCGGGGCCTGGGGCTACGGCCACGCCTGGAGCTGTCGCTGGTCGTACTCAGCGATGAGCCTCTTGATGTGGGCCAGCTTGCTGTGCAGGTACTCGCAGCGGTGCTTCTCCTGGCTGTAGTTGGTGTTGGTCTGCGAGAGAGCGGCTGGGCTGAGCCTCATCCACGGGGCCAGGGTGGAGAGCCCAGGGCCAACCCAAGCTGCCCGCCTGGCTGCTCTCTGCCCTCACGCCAGGCAGGGACCCCTGAGCTGCCACCGGGATCCACCCTGGGAAACAGGGCCACGGCTAGGGTGAGAGGCTGCAGGAAGGTGGGTCACGCAGCTTCCCCGTGGGGCTGGGGCACGGCCGGTGGGAACCACCCTGGCACACTCGACCCTAGGGAACGAGAGCTGCTGTGGTGGCGTCACGTCCCAGGAGACGGTCAGGGAGCCCGAGATGGGGGCAGCCTGCGCCCACGAGACCACAGTTCCTCCCCAACTCGAGCAGTGAAGGGCTCAGACGGGGCCAGGACGGGGTGGGGAACTGTGCTTCCTCCCCCGACCTTCGAGGGAGCTGCAAAGGGCCTGGGGCATCCGAGCGCCCAGGACAGACTTAAGGTCCCCAGCTGTCAGCAGGGGAGGAGCTACTCTGAGGACCTGAGACCACCCCAGGGAGGCCTGCCCTGCCTCCTCTCCCAGACCATGGCGCCACTCACCTGATCCCACCCCGCCCTAACCTCCACAAGGGGATGGAGGCTCACCTTTTTGATTTTTCGATATTCCTGAAGGATCTGCCCACGAGTAGTCTGGATAAAAAACAAAACAAACAGTGAACAATGCATTATCTGCAGGATACCCCAACGGAGTGACCCTTCTCCTTGATAAAGGAGAAGGATAAAGGATAATGGCCGCAGCTGTGGCGTGATGGCCTGAGGGAGAAGAGAAGAGGGGCTGGGTGCAGGCTAGGGGAGGAGCAGGGCCAAGGGGGCGACTCGGGGACATGCAAGATGCCACGCGGCGGGAGGGGTCACACAGTGGGAAGGGTCACATGGGGGGAGGGGCAGGGGGAGGCAGAGAGCAGGTGGAACGGCGCCTTCCCAGCACGCCAGCTGGCCGGCGCCCAGGTTGAGGCCAAGTGCAGAGGCCCCCTGACCACCTGTGGGGGCTGCAAGGAGGCAGGAGGATGGGGGTGCCTGGGGGCGGGGGGGTGCTTGCATGTCCTAGACCCTCAGAACCCCCACTGGGCCTCCAGTCACAAGCCATCTCCTCGGGAAATCAACATGGCCTCCAGCAGGCAGACAGCCCAGCGTGACGGCTCCTCAGGGCCGGCCTTGTCATCAGGTAACCAGCTCCGAAAGGGGTCGCGGGGGGGGGGGGGGGGCTGGTGTCCCAAGGCCCCCTGTGCTGAGTTCCCACTCGGGATGCCTGGGGAAGCCCAAGTGCCCTAGGTGGGGGAGGGGGCTGGGAGCCCAGGGACCCTTCCTCCCCTGCCCCTCCCACGTGGCTGTGACAGCTCTGACGGGCTGTGGGGTGTGGCCAGGGCCTGCCCCTCCTGCTGGGGGGCAGCGCTGAGCTTTCCGGTGGGTGACGCAGCATGGGCTGCAGAGAAGCCCCAGGTGCTCACAGCGGGGGGTGCACACACCCCAACCCCGGCTTCCTGGCTGTCTCCACGGCTCGGTGGGCCCCCCCAGCCCACAGTCACCTCCCACCTACAGCGCTGGTCTTGCCCAGTCTCATGGCTGAGGCGGCGGAGCTCCCTGGACAGGCCTGAATCTCTTGGAGTGGGAAGCAGGGGCGGGCAGTGCCCCCGCCCAGAGCAGGGGGGGACTGGCTGGGATGCAGGCACCGGGCGGGGCGCTACCTCATACTCCTCAGAGCCCTGCGAGAGCTGCCGGAGCTGGGCATCGAGCTGCGTGAAGCGCCGCGTGATCCGCTCGATGCGGGCGTGCAGGTCTCGGTACTCGCTGTACTCGGCATTGAAGTCGTTTTTGTAGCTCTGCCGCTGCTCCGAGGAGGAGATGGTGGCATATTTTCTGGGGAGATGGGAGAGAGGGGCCGCAGGGGCTTAGGGGGCTGCAGCAGAGAGCCTGGAAGTGTCCACAGCCATGTGGCCAGCCCCGCCCAGGAAGCAGCCCTGACTCCGAGCAGCCTGGCCATCAAGAATACACACACAGCCATGGGGTCAAGTCAGCGCACGCGCGTGCACACACACAGGAGTACACACACAGCCATGGGGTCCGTGCTGCCTCGGCTAACCTGCAGGGCCGGGGGGCGGGGAGCAGCAGGCGAGGGGAATACTCACAGCAAGTAGTCGGGCGTCTCCGAGGTCGATGTGGGGACACTTGAGCTGCTGCAGGTCCCGTTTAAACCTACAAAGAGAAAATGTATCTCCTGAGTCCATACCTGGTGTGTCTGTGATGAGATCTACAGAAGGTTGATGCCCTATTGTCTGAAGGCCTCAGGGGGAGGCCACGCAGAGGGAGCCAGGATGAGCAGAGGCGGCATGAGTCAGGGCGAGCACCGTCTGGCCACCGTGCGGGCCTGCCTGGAGCTGGACGTGCCCCCTGCCAGTGGGAGAGGTGGCGAGCCAGCACGGTGTGCATACCCAGAGTACAGCCGTGCAGAGATGGCATCGTGGGCACAGTTTTCAGCAAGCACCCAAAAGGACGGCTTCACTGCAGGGTCAAAGCCTGGGAAGCTCGTTCAGAGCCCCTGCTGACCCCACGTAAGAGGCCACAAAGAAGAAAATCAGTGACCCCTGGCCAGTTAAGTCCTGGGGGCATACCATTCTCGGGCCCTGCAGGACAAAGCCGGATAGCTGCCAGGGTTTTCCCCCTCCTCTCCCTGCTGATGGAGTTGCAGACCCTGCAGGCTCTGGTCCCTGGCCTGACCACCCCCACCCCCACCCCCACCCTCCCATTCTTCCCACCAGACCCAAGACTGTGAGATCAGAGGGACAGCCCTGGGACTGTGACCTGAGACAGTGCCCGAGGCCTGCCCAGGCTACAGTCAACCCAAACTACAGTCTGCTCCTTTCCCCCGGGACTTCTTCCAGATGACCTTTTTTTACCCCAAGACAGAAGCGATATTATCACTTTGCAGCATATGCTGAGTGCCTATTTTGGTGCCTCTCTTGGAGGAAAGCAGCCCTCCAGTGGATCAGCGGTTTGATGAGCCCCCGTGTGGTTTTATACTCCATCCAGTGCAAGGGGAGATTCCCACCAATGGATGGCGCCCACCCACACCCCCGTCCGGGTGTTGCCTCTGGAAAGGCTGTGGCCACGCTGGGATGTAGCCCAATAGGCGCAAACATGCAGATTTAGTCTACATTCCCACCTCCCACAGCCCAGGCACGTCAGGCGCCCCGGGGTGCTTCACCTTGAGGCTGAGAATCAGATCACCCTGGCAGGATACCACTGGAGTCCAGCCTGTGTCAACCCTCTGTGGGCCCCACTCCTGCCCCGGCACTGGCTGTGCCAAGCTGTCACCCAGCCACCCCTGCACTAGCCCAGCTGCTTCCCACCCGTGTGCCCCCTCCCAGGGCAGTAGGTGCAGGGACGTGTCTGCAGGGTCACCCTGCGGGATCCAGGTCTGGGTGCCAATGAGAGAGGGCGCCCCAGTTTCCACACACGGGTCCGTAGGCCTGAGTTCGGCCTGAATGAACCGAAGCACGCCTCTGCCCAGCATGTGGCCTGGCCAGGAAGGCGCCCTTGGGCCAGAGGTGGGGACCACAATCTGAGCGAGAGCTGGGGGCAGGCACAAGGGTCGGTCTAGGACCCAGGAGTGGGCCCGCAGCACAGGGGGGAGGAAGGTGGCAGAGGGGGGCCTTGGCAGGGTGGGGGAGACGGGGGACATAGGTGGGTTGAGCTGAGGAGTCTGTTCAACAGGAGGAGGCTGCCACACCTGTCAGGGTCAGAGGCGATCACAGGGCAGGGCTGGGACCGCAGGGCCAGACGAGCGGGCAGCAGCATGCAGAAGCGTGGGCTACCTCACAGGACACAAGGCTAAGGGAGCTTCTGCACTTGGGTGCCGACCTGGAACCCTCTCCAGTGAGGCAGAGGAAATGTTCAGGGAACAATGCTGCTGTTAAAGGCGGGTGGGTAGCCCTAGCCTGCACAAACCCCTACCCAGGAAAGAGCCACAGCAGGAGGCTGTGTGTGGTGGGAGCTTGAGAGGAAAGGCAGGCTTCCCACCCACCTATGATCATCATCATCTGAGCCCCCAGAGAGGCCAGTCACGGTGGATCACTTGGTGCCATACCCAACTTCCAGCGCCTCACTTGTCCTTTTCCTCCCCTCGGGGCCCTGCTCCCTGGCTTTCCCGATCCCAAACCCCTTCCTCACCATGGCCTGGGGCCACGCTACCTGCGGCTGACACACACTGGGCAGGAGCCAGTGCCTCCTGAGCCCCGCACATGGGGCCGGTCTGGGCAGCACCTTCCTGGCCTGGCCCGCTGCCTGGCCCCATAGTCCTACTTCTCCAGACCCTGCCAGCAGCATATGGAACCTCGCTTCTGCTGCCTGGGACAGACGGCTCCCTGAGCCCAGCTGCTCACGTCTGTGTCCCTGGGCGGGACCCGGGTCAGATGGCCTGTGCTCAGGGAGCCAGGCTCCCTTCTCCTCTGAGAAGCCTAGCATGCAGCAGGGTCGAGGGGTCCCAGAGGACCGACGGAGCTGCAAGGTCTCTTCATCAGACCGACCGGAGCCCCCGTCTCCAGCTGCAGAGGGAGGAGCTGGCATGGCCTTTCTGAAGGACAGCTGAGGGACAAATTCAAAAGCCTTACCGAGCAGGTGCTCCACCCACGATCCAGGGATGCCCCCTGCTGGGGATCCTCCTGAGGAAATAATCTGAAAGCTGCAGCAGGTCAAAGGGCCCACATGGCCCGGAAGGCTGCGCCTCTGTTGCTGTGACATGCTGATTAGGTTAAATTACGTGAGAGGAAAATCACAATGGAGTCAGTATTGCTCAGAGAGCTCTCTAAAAAGGGAATCAAGAAGCCATTAAGGAAGTGTGACTTGTGCACGGCTCAGCCTGCATGGAATCTGACCTTTTGACCCCATGAAGTCATCTGCCAGGAACTCGTGACAGCTGATCTACTTATTAGACCCCCCACCCTCAAACCACGCAATACTGTTGACTTACTGGACCCCTAACCTAAAACAAATATTTTCTGACTTGTCTGACTTGCGTCAGAGTTAAACCGTTCTCACCAGAAACCTTTAACAAACTCAAGGCTTTTGGTCTCTCCATAAACCCAACTCTTGCTCTTCCTGAGAACGAATGCTCATGGTCACCTGAACCTATGTCTCCCGAATGGTAATTCTTAAGACCCTAAAGAAATCGTTTCCCTATTTCCAGCCTCCAGAGTTATTTTGGGGTTGACAGTAGCCACAAGGGGTGCTCAGCTCAGATGCCTGGGGTTGTAACTGGGAGTAGGGAGGCTCTGGGGGTGAGGACTCCGCCCCTATGAGCCTCTGCAGTGCCCAGGCCCTGGTCAGCACACAGTCCCGGCAGCCTCATACCCCGCATCGCGCCGAGGGGCTCTCAACCGCCAGCTTCCCTACAGGCTGCAAGTGAGAGACCTTGCTCTGGCTCTCACCGCCCGTTTTCAGTAGACAGTCTCCCGCCTCTCAGACCCTCTCTCTGCAGACTCAAATGTTTGCTCAGCAGGTCACAGAAGGTCCACAGTGATCCAGGGACCCCCTCTCCACCAAGTCCTGCCCCCTGCAGCCATCCCTGAGCCCCAGACCCCTGTTGAGTGCTGTGTCTGGGATCTCCCTGCAGCCAAAACTGGGCCCTGGAATTGTTCCTCTCCCTGTGAAGTATCCCTCCTGTGAGCCTCAGCTCCATCAGGCTCCGTGCCCCTGGTCCCCAGGGCTGGCCTGGCACACCCTGACTGCAGGAGGCTTCGAGGAGAGCACCTCCAGGGCAGTCACGTGAGCCAGCGCGAGGACATGGGGCCTCAGAGTGCAGGGCGGGCTCCAGTGGGGACTCAGGAGGCGGCCCCGGTGTCCTGTGGCGTGAGGGTGCGTGGGCACAGGGCCAGTGCTCAGGCTCCCAGTGACCCCCCTTCGGCAGAGCCCTCTGCCCCTTGACCTCTTGGCACCTACCCGGGGCGACTGGTGGGGCAACTGGAGGGGCTCCAAGGGGGCCTGGCACCGGGCCGAGCGGCCGGTCCCGGGGCCTGTCCTCTGCGGCCCTCTCCCTGTCTTTGTGCTTCTTGGATTTCTTCTTGGATTTGCCGTGCAAGGAGCCGCCGTGGGGCCTGCTGGGCTGGGCACAGTCCGTCAGCAGGGGCATGCTGAGCCGCTCAGTAGGGGCTGGGGCGGCCACCTCGCCACGCTCACAGTCCCGGCCACTGTGGCCCAGGTCGTTGCTGACATCGGTCAACGGGTCGTGGGCCCGCGGCAGCTCCAGTCGCAGGGGCAGGTGGGCATCCGTGCCAGCCAGCAGGCCCGGGGTGGGCAGCAGGCCCTCGCGGCCGAGGGTTGTGCTCAACTTCCCATTGACTGTGGGCTGAGCTCTCTGGGTGAAGTGCGATATCCTGGGTTTCTTGTTGGCCAGAGGATCAATGAAATCAGGAGGCTGTGGCCGTTTCTGTGAAGGAAAGGAGAGAATTTCAGAAGGGAGCCTGTGCCTGGAGTCACTGTGTGCCCCAGGGAGAGGCTGGGCAGCAACAGGCCGAATTTGAGCTGACCAGTACCCCCACCACAGGCCCTGAGGGGACCAGCGCCCGCAGGCAGGGCCACTCCGACCACAAGGGGGCGCGCGGACGCCACAGCAGGCCCGAGAGGCCCGGAGCTCCTGGGGCCTGCCTGCCCAGGGACCCGGTGGGGCCACGGGCCAGCAGGGCAGAGAAGGGGCGGCTGCGCCATTACTGCACCCGCTTCAGCCCACAAGGGCCTCCCCAGAAACTGGTCTAAAACGTGACTGTGCCCGGCATCTCCCCCGATGACAGGAAGAGCAACGAGCCCAGTCTGAGTGACACCGGCCAGGCCCCGCAGGCCAGGACCATCCTCCCCAGGGCCTTGGAATCCCCGTGGCACCCCTGTCACATGGTGCAGGCCTCATCCCCATTCACAAAGGAGAAGACTGAGGTTCGGAAGGAAGGCCAGAGCAGAGGAGCGGAGCCGGGATTACACCCGACGGCCCAGGCCCAGGGTGCGGCAGAGTGGACCAGAGTGAAACGAGGCCCTGCCCTCCACGCCCCAGCCACGGGGTGCCCTGGGAGGCTTCAGCACCTAGGCCGGATGCCTCCAGGGGGAAGCAGAGGGGGAAAGAGAGGGGCTGGCCAAGCAGGGGACGGAGACATGGGACTCACTGGTCACAGCATGCGAGGGGAGGAGGCAGCTTTCACCAAACAGCTCCAACAGTGAGGGACCCCACTGCTGAAGATCAAGCCCCCGATAGCGAGGCCCTCCCCGGCTACTGACACGGCAGGTCCCGCTGGGGGACACAAGTGATTTTCTCAACAGCCCTGGGAGTCAGAGGCCTCCAGTGTACAGAGAAAGTGCAAGGCTCAGTGGCCACCAGCCCACGCACCCTCGGCCACACTACCCCGACAGATAACCCAAGGAACCTATCCAGGTTCCAGGCCTGGGACCCCCAGCCCCCAGCCAGCTGCTTACGCATTCAAGAAAACTCACCAGCCCTGAGTCAGAGGCCCAACAGATTCCCCGAGAAACAAGGTCAGGCCCACCGCCTCTGCTGAAGCCCGCCCACCCTCCCTGCCAGCTGCTCCTACCTGAGGGGGAGAGGCTGAGCTCCCGTGCTCGCCCGGAGGACTGTTGGCAGCAAGGTCCCCAGGGAGGCCGCCTGTGCTCTGTGGCTGGCACAGTTTCCTGCAGAGGAGAAGCAAGGTAGCTTGGAAGGCCCTCCCTGCGAGGCGCACCCAGGCCCACCCACCTCTGCACTAACCCCATGCTGTCCCACTTGTACTCGGCGTCTTGGGGAGGGCCTGACTCCCCGCTGAACCAGAGCAGGGCTGGGTGCGGCGGGCCCACCTGGCAGTCAGAAAGCAGTCTGAGCACACCCTGTCCTGGCTGCATTCACACCTGCCCTGTGGCCACGGCCTCAGCCTCACCATCAGGAGGCCGGTCACACTGGATGCTCTGTGCCCAGAGAAGAGTCAGGTGCCCAGACACTCGTCCTGACCTTCATGATCATGGAGACCGAGGACCCCCTGTGCAAAACTGATCAGACACTCAAGAGTCCATGCTGTGTCCCCATGGGAGCTACAGACACTGGGTATTGGCCCTTTTTAAAAAAACATTTTATTTGGTCCTTACTTTTATAAACAACTGTCATCCCAATAACAACGCTCACTGCAGAAACAGAATGCAAAAGAGGGCTGAGATGCCCTGCTCTTAGGTGGGAGGATCCCCACCCCACCCCCCAAGATTCAACTCCCATCTTCCTGGGAGCCCAGGCCCCAGGCCCTCAAGGGATGGCAGGGGCAGCCAGCAGACCACTGGAATCTGAGCTCAAAAGCGCAGCCAGGGATGAGAGAAGAAATGCCCTAAGGCTTGACAGAAAAACAGAGGCCCTGACAGTCACCCTGGCTGGGTGAGGTTGGCTTCTTGCACTCCTAGAGGCTGAGTCTCAGGGAGGCCAGGCACCCAGCTGGCCCCCCACGCCCTGCATGAAGCTGAGCTGAGGCTGGGGGCCACGTCTGCTGCTCCGACCAGTGACCAGCAGAGCACCTCCCTGGCCCTCATCTGCATTCCAGACTCCGGAGGCCGCCCGCCCCACAGCAGCCTGAAATGCAAGGAGAGCCGAAAGGAAGGTTCCGAGAGTGGGTGGGGCAAGTCTACTGTCCAGCCCTGTAGAAGCAGCCAGAACTTCCAGTCAGAGACAGAGAATCAGGTGTTCACATCCATTCTCTCTCAAGTCCCCACTAAAAGGCATAGAAGAGAAAGGGGAAAAAAGACAGCAATGCTACTTCACACGGAAAGCAGAAGCATGAGTGGTGACTGTCCCGGAGGAGTCCTGGGCTGCAGGGGCCACAGGCCCGCAGTGTGCACCTCGGAGACCTCAGCGCAGGGGCCCGCCAGGCTGTCCCCCAACAGCCCTGCTCTGGGGCCTGGCCTGCTGGGGGGCAGCTGCAAAGGGAACCCCCAGCATGTTCGGGAGTAAAGGAGCCCAGGCCTTCTCCAGGGGGGCAGGAGGCTGCTCGGGCCACACAGGATGGACAGAAACTTGGCCTCCAGAGGAGAGATAACGGGGGCCTGTGGAGGGACCCAGAGATGCCTCAGGGCTACCAGGGAAGCTGAGCTGCCAACAGCAGAGTTCTGTGGAGGTGGCACCCCGGCTTCCAGGTGACAAATGTCAGGCCCTGAAGCAGACAAGACTGTGCATTTGAAAGGACAGAGAGCAACCAAGCCCTGTGCCACGACTGCTGAGCCCGCACGCCGCGGTGACCGAAGCCGAGCCGAGCCGCGCTCCACGGCAGGAGGGGCGCCGCAGGGGGGAGCCTGAGAACCGCAACCAGAGAGGAGCCCGCAAGCAACGAAGGCCCAGCACAGCCACAAAGAAAGTAACTGTGATAAAGAAAGGAGTGCTCGCTTCGGCAGCACATATACTAAAATTGGAACGATACAGAGAAGATTAGCAAGGCCCCTGCGCAAGGATGACACGCAAATTCATGAAGCGTTCCATATTCTTACTATGATAAAAACATTTCAGGTGTTTGGTCCGTGGTGAAATTTTTCCTAAGGCAATTTTTTCCCCTATCCATTCGTACATTACTGTGACCGCAAGAGATGTTTCCCGTGTTAGAATCTAATATCTGAGTCTCTTGAGCAAAAGGTGACTATTCTTCATTATGGTACAATTCCACCTATCATATGTGAAAACCCCAGAAAAATAAACCCACATGCTGAAGCATTCCTACAGAGTTCTGACTGCCTACAACAGTGGCACACATGTCATCTTTGTATGTTAAACAGTATACTGTTTGGATTTCTCTTACAATCTTTTACCAAGTGGTGTGAGAAACTTGGTGTTAATGTCTTTTTCCACTTCAAGCTTAGATCAAGAATATTTTTATTTTTTGGAGAAAGAGGTATCTACTGTATAATTGCACCAAAGTACAAATGAAAGGAAGGTTTTCTTCAATAGGGTAACACTGCAGCCATGCAGATAAAACCGCAGATATATCGTTTGTTAGGCTGACTAAGATGTGGGAAAATGCTTTTCTGTTAGTAGAATGCAAAGACCTACCTAAGCCACATAATAAAATTCTTTTACCAATTAAAAAAAAAAGAAAGAAAGAAAGGAAAGAGAGACTCTAAGAGGATGAAAATGCTAAATCCACCAGAAACACACCAGCCTTAACAGTCTCAGAAAGACAAAGATCCGAAATACACACCTCTCCAAAGAAAATATACAAATAGCCGATAACCGCATGCATAGATGCTCAACATCATTGCTCATCCAGGGAAACTCAAATCGACACCACTATAAAATACCACTTCACACCAGCTAGAATTAAAAAAAAAAAAAAAGAAAGAAAATATAACCAGTATTGGTGAGGCTGTGGAAAAACTGGAATTGGGCACTGCAGGTGGGAACATAAAATGGGGCAGCCACTGAGAAAAAGTGTTTGGCAGTTCTTCAGAAAGTTAAACCCAGGACTGCCATACGGCCCAGCAATTACACTCCTCAGGACATATTTGAGAGAACTGAAAATCTGTGTCAGTTATATTTGTGTCCTCGTACACAAATGTTCACAGCATCACTGTACACAATCCCGAAAAGGTGGGAACAGTCCACATGTTCACTGACAGAAAAATGAATAAGCAAAAACTCACACACAACAGACTATAAAAACGAACCAAGACCCTGGCCACAGGAAAGAACGAAGCTCTGCTACAGGCTGCAGTGTGGAGAAACCTTGAAAACATAATACTGAGTGAAAGAAGCCAGACCCCAAGGCCACAGAGCACATAATCCCATTGATAAGACTTGTCCAGAACAGGCAGGAAGCAGATTAGCGGTTGCCAGGGGCTGGGGGCGGGGGGATGGGGAGTGACTGCTAATTCACGTTGTTGGGTTTTTGGAGGGTAAATGGTTTGGAACTAGATGGAGGCGGTGGTTGCACCTTGGGAACTAGAAATAATGGCAAAAAGAGAGACACGGGAGAAGCTGAAGAAATGTCCCCAAAGTAGAAGAAATAAAAATAAACAACCAGGAGGACAATGGTGAATGGTGTAGGAGCATGGCCCCCAAGGGCAGACTCAGAGGAAGCCCGCGGGAGGACGCTGAGGCCTCTCACAGCTGCACGGAGGATGAAGAGGATGAGGCAAGCATTCAGACTGCCAGGGCCACCGGCGCCCTGGCCCCAGAGCACCCTCCAGACTATCCTGTGACCGCGGGGACACACACAGGCCAGGGAGGGAACTGAAGAGGCTTCCTCGGCCAGACCTTCAATGTGGAGGAAAAGTTCCTTCCAATCTAGAAGGCTAGATGTGGTCAACTGCTGACAGCGTGCTGGCCACCCAGGTGTGGAGCTGTGGAAGACGGACGTCCCAAAGCCTTCTCCCCAGAGAGATGCTCCCAAGAGCTGGGTCCCTTCAGCATCAGGGCAGAATCACAGACCCGGAAACAGGAGGATCTGCGAGGGAGGGAGGCAGCTCCCTGTGGAAGCCCTGGTCCGTTGAAAGTGATGCAAGGCCATGAGACAACCAGAGGGAGCTTGTGGCTGGACGTGAAGGGCACAGAAGGCTGAGCACTTGGCCAAGCAGCTCACCAACTACAGGGAAGTGCACCACCCGTGAGACGGACAGAGGCTTGGGCTGTCTAGGCTACGCCCTGGGGGAGGGAGGCCAGGACAGGGCAGTCGGGGGGCTGATTTCAAGGCCTCATCCTGCACTGGGACATCCAGACTCTGCCTGGGCCAGGCCAGGCCTGAGCAGCTACTCATGGGGACCGAAAGCACGGAGGAAGCATCCGAATAAACAGCTGAGGGCTTCCCTGGTGGGCCAGTGGTTAAGAATCCACGTGCCAATGCAGGGGACACAGGTCTGATCCCTGGTCCGGGAAGATTTCACATGCCGAGGAGCATTAAGTCCACGTGCCGCAACCACTGAGCCCGTGCTGCAGAGCCCGAGTGCTGCAACTAGTGACGTGTGCACCGCCGTGAGTCGGCGCTCCGCAACAGGAGAAGCCTCTGCAACACGAGGCCCGAGTGCCTGTCTGCCAGAGCAGAGCCACGGGGGCCCAGGCAGAGCCTGGGAGCACAAGCGCACCCAACTCAGGCGCAAGCTTAGAAGAAGCTGTAGGACAAGGAGGGCCGCAGCCCCTGGGGTAACACCCTAAGACCTCGTTTCTCCTCCTTGCCATGAGACCCCTGCATGAAGAGCAGTTGCAATGAGGGCTTTCTTCAGGGAGGGAGCAACCTAAACATGAAAAAAAAAAAGCTGTGCAGAGCAGCCCCAGGTTGTGGGTATCAGTGATACTGACCCTGACCTCTGCCCACCAATCAGGTCAAGCTCCCAAGAGCAGCAGATGCTGTCAGCTTCTGGAGAGACATCGGGCCAGGCCGCCCCCCCAGTTGGCCCACGCAGCCCGAGAGGAGAGTGCCAAGACGGCCCAGAGCAAACAAGAGGGAGGAAAGAAGAGCTTGCTGTTGCCCTGAGCTCCGGGAGTCAGGAGCCTGAGGAGCCTCCCAGCTGATACCCCTCAATATTCAGCCTAGTTTCCGAGGGCCCACACCCACCCAGGGCCAGACTGCCCACAGACTGCTTGTTCCTGGCCATGCCCCTCCTGGAGAGCTCTGGGAGGGCAAGGCCTGGGAGCCTGAGATCAGCGGGCGCCAAGTGAGAGGCTCTGAAGGAAGGAAGGGTGGGAGCAGCCTCAAGGCACCCCACCCCCATGTGCCCCTTGGCACTTCAAAGCTCTGAGGTTGGTGTAACTTACTACTTCAACACTACTGCCAGGCGTGCATGCATGCTCTATCGCTTCGGTCATGTCCGACTCTTTGCAACCCCATGCCCTATAGCCTGCCACTAGAGTCCATTAGAGTCTCCAGGCAAGGATACTGGACTGGATTGCCATGCCCCCCTTCAGGGGATCTTCCCAACCCAGGGACTGAACCTGCGTCTCCCGCATCGCAAGCAGATCCTTTACCGCTGATGCAACCACCTGCAGGAGGTGACAGTGTCTATCTGAGACGTGCAGAGGACGCCCAGAGAGGGGAGGGGAGCGTCGTCTGCCTCAGCCTCCCTGAGCACCTAGAGACTGCCAGGGAGCCAGAAGAGGGACCCCGGCACAGCAGATGAGCACCCTGCAGGGCCAAGGAGGAACTCCTGGTTCACCCAGAGTGGCCCCAACTTGGCTCTGATTTCCAGATGCAGTTACTGCTTTAAACAACTTAAAAAAAACCTTCATAAATTGCTCCAAGTCCCTGAGAAACCACTTAAGGCCTAATTAGCATCTCAGGCTGCTCTGAAGGGCGCTTCACAGCCAGGGCTCGTGGGCACCAATTGAGAAGGAAATCATTAACTGCTTGCCTTAGACAAGGGCCGACTTAACCACTTCTCCCCAGAGCCACCTTGGCTACTCCTGACTTCAGGTCCCCATTAACCCAAGAGGGGATGCGTTTAATTAATGCTGCTTAATAGTGTCTGTGGGGAGGTTTGTTTTGCTTTGTTTCTCTCTGCTTCCAGTCCTTGAGACTTTCTTTTTAAGAAAGAGGCGGCCTGCAGCAGTAGCCTGTGGGGATGCGCAAATTTCAGACGGAGCTTGGTAGGAGGGGAAGGAGGGGCAGCAGGAATGGCCGTTTTGGGGCTTTCTGTCCTGAAGTTCTCGTGTTCAACACAGAGACTCATGCCCTCCACCCCACTCAGCAAGGCTGCCTTTTCCCTATAGGAGGCCACGGTGGGCTACCCAGGCAGTCTCTCCAGACCCCTCCATGCTGCCTGCGGGCCCTGTGGGCTCTGGAGCCACAGGAGGCCGCCCCAGCCTCCTGGAGATGGGATGTGGCCCAGGCCCGGCGGACGGGGACCCACTCCTGGATGGGGTGGCAGTGTTACCGGATGAGCATCCGCTTCAGCAACTGCTGGTCTCCCTCCGAGTAGCCGGGCCAGTCCTTCTGCACATCCTTGTACACACAGTCCTTCAGCGTGCACGTGCCATCCTTGGCATTCACGTTGGCCACCTGCAAGATAGAGCCAGGCTCACCTCGTGTATAGCCCGAGAGAGAGATGATCATGAAAGCATTTTGGGGGGTGGTGTGGGGAGAGGCAGAGACAGACATTAAAGGGGAAAGAGGACAGCACACTTCTGCCCCAAGCCAATACTTGGCCCCCCCCAACTCCTCCGCAGTCCGGGATAGTGGCCCTTGGGGTGCAGAAGGGTCAGAGCAGCAGGCCCAGATGCTGTTGGAGGCCAGGCTGGCTCCACAAGGGGGCGCTGCCATCTACACTCCTAAGACTCCATCAGCAGCCCATCCCGCTGCTGTGGACAGAACCATTTTTGTCCTCCACAAATCCATGTTAAGTCTTACCCCCTGCTAACCTAAGGCGATGGATTAGGCGGCGAGGCCTCTGGGAGGTGATGAGGTCACGAGGGTGCAGCCCCCCGAGGGAGTGTCTTTCTGGGGGAGGGGCTGTGCCGGCCTTCGCTGCTGGGAGCCTTCTCCAGATGCGGCAGGGCGGGGGCTATCCCCCAGCTGCACCGTGCGGGCTGCTCATCGTGCTCCTGCTGCAAAGCACAAGCTCAGGGCTCTTGGGCTCAGCAGCCGCGGCTTCCAGGCACTAGAGCGCAGGCTCGAGTAGTGGCGCACGGGCTTAGCTGCTCCGCAGTATGTGGGATCTTCCTGGATCAGGGACTGAATCCGTGTCTTCTGGACTGGCAGGCAGATTCTTTACCACTGATCCACCAGAGAAGCCCAAGTGTCTTTATAAAAGAGAACCCAGAGTTTCCTCGCCCCTCTCCCCGGGACGAGCATGAGAAGGCAGAACACAGGCCCTCACCAGACACCCAGTCTCCCAGAGCCCTGATCCTGAGCCTCCCAGTCTCCAAAGCTGTGTGACGGGTTTGTGGTGTCTAACCCACCCAGGCCATGGTGTTCTATGACAGCGGCCTTTGGACTAAGATACACACTCTCAAACTCACAGCTCTTGTGGCAGAGTTGGCCGAGCTGGGGGAGCTGGGGGAGGGGTGCCTTCAGGGCCCAAGCTGAGCCCACCTTCCCTGCAACCAGCCAGCCCTGCTGCTTTTGGTTAACATAAGCCGAGTTCGTCTTCAAGACTTTGCAAAGATGCATTTAGAACATGTGCCTTAATGTGCTTGATGGAATTCAGGCCCCTGACCCGCAGAGGGCACTTTCCTGAGTGTCTTGTCAGGCACCATGGTCTCCGGAGTGTGTGTGATTGGGACGGCAGCTGCTGTTTTTCACTACAACTGAGACTGTGAATTTATTCTCCACGTCATGGCGGTTTCCACAAAGAGCATTTTTTAATGGTTGAGTAATATTCCACCAAGAGGCTGCACTGTGATTCACTCAATCCTTTCTCCTTTGTTGGACGCAGACTCTGTTTCCAGCTTCTCTGGAGCATAAACAGATGTCACTTGTGCAGGTTTTTCCATGCTGGTGACGGTTTTTTTCGGCCAGCTTCCCAGAAGTGGGATTAGTGGGTCAGAGGCTCTGAACATTTTTATGGCTTCTGAGACGTTTTGCTAAAATGCTCTCCAGAAGAGCCAACCACCCATCCACACTCCCACCAGGAAGGTGGACTGCCTCAAGTCTTCTCTTTGGATGTTTTCACAAAAGGAGAGGGGGAGGCATCCTTGCACAGCGCTGCTTTGTCAGTGCTGCTCATCAGAGTCCCTGGTCACCGGGGGGGGGCTGGGAAATGAGCATCCGTAGTGAGGTGTAGCCCCCATACCTTCCTATCCTCACACTGGTGGGGTCCCAGTGCCCCCTCCCACAATTGGTGGGGAGAACAAGAAGTCCGGTAGCAAACAGCAGTTCAAGGCAGATGGGACAGGAAATCAGAGAATGGGAAAGATCGGAGTGGGCACCCAGGATGCTTGAGTGCAAGACATCGCCTGGGCCGCCTCAGGGAGCTGCCAAACCCAAGTTGACTGGGGAAGCTGGCACTTAGCATGATGCCTCTCTGGTCCCAGGAAAGGACCAGGAGTGATGAGAACACCCTGGCGGTTAAAAACAAAGCAGGTGCCCCAGGCAGACCCAGGTCAGCACCGCCAGCGCCCTCTCTCTCCAGAGCACTAAGCCTGGTGCCCCTGTCATGGCTAAGGGTCACTCAGTGGGTAAATCGCAGGTGCAATCAAATGCTGGGTCAGCCACGGCTCACATTCTACATGTGCCGCTTTTTCACTCTGGGCCCAAACAGAATGAGACTGGAGAGCAGGAGCAAGGGCGTCTTTCAGAACGCTACCCCAGGGGCCGAGGGCCTGGCTGGACGGCGATTTGCGCTCCAAGCACCAGCCGGGCAGGCATGGTAGTCACCCCTGCCGTCAGTCTGAGCTCACGGCTGACGACCCTGCCCCGCTCCCTGAGCCGTGCCTCAGCCACCCTGTGCTGCAGGAGGCAGCTCTGGGCGGCCCCCAGCCCAGGAAAAGGGTCTCCTGTGGGCTTCCCCCAATTTCCCAAGGGTGAGGCAACACATGCAACTTTCCAAGGAAATGAGCACCCTGGGAAATGTCCTTCCTGTTCCAGAGCTTTCTGGACGCTCCAGCAAGCCCCAGAGAAACCTCCTGGACTACAGAGCGCTGTATCTGTCTTCTCTAGGCCCCAAGCCGACTCTCGAGCCTGCCGGGAGAAACTGCCCCTCAGCCCGCGCCAGCACAACCTGCACGCGGGGGCGCAGCTCAGGAGGCCAAGTTTGCACAGAGGCCCCAGTGAGTACCCGGAGGAGCCCTCGACGGGAACAAGGCTCCAGGGAGCACCTCAGCCCTCGGGCCCCGGGGGTGTCTCCACAGTGAAGGGGAGGGGAGGCGAGCCCAGCACAGGTCAGCACTCATGCTCAGAGTGCAGCAGCTGGTCACCGCGGCCCCTCTTCCCTCCTCACCCCTGCCCCGTGCCCTGAACCCGCTGGGGGGCGATGACGACACAGGGATGCCAGTCCGAGCACGGGGGGACGAGAGCCATGCCGACCTTCTACCAAAGCTATGTGTGGTCACCCCAGCCTCGCACTGCACTCAGGGAGGCGCAGAGGGGCAGCAGGGCGCCCACGGGAGAACTCGGTCAATTGGAAATTCTCGGCAACTCCTCAGATACAGCTCCGGATGGTCATGGCGCCAACTTCCGACCACAGGAGGCAGCACCCAGGAGCCCAGAGTGTCCGAGGCAGCGCCTCAGCTCCTCCCAGAACACTGGCGTGACTGCCGCTGGCTGTGCCATCCTGGCAGCGGCAGTGCTCTGAGGTGGCCTGCTGCCACTCCACGGCGGAGCGGCATCCACGGGGCCCAGCTAAGGTGGTGGATCGGGAGCGAGCCGCTCACCCTCTCAGGAGTCCGTGAGCTGGCTCCTCCAGGGCACAGCGCCAGGAAGGCGCTGGGACCACCGCTGTCGCTGCAAAGCCCTGGCTGTTTAACTGCAGGCTCTGCCTGCTGGCCCCACGTTCCTGCCTGATTAGCTCCTGACCCCAAAGTGACGTGCTCCAGTCACACCCCAGCCTCAGACAGAAGCCTGAGGGTCCAGACATGAAGCCCCTTGCCTACAGCCACAATTGAAAAACCACACGGAGACCCACCTGATATGAAGCCTGAGTTCTTGCTAACTTGGGCTTGCGCGTTCCCCACGCTCCATTCAATTCCAAAACCTTGTGCAGCTGAAGTCTTGGGTCCCCCATGCTACGCCCACTGCCTGCGAGCCCACAGCTGTGAGGAGACGAGCCCTGGACAGTAAACAGCGCCCCGTGCCCCGCCCCGGGCAGCACGCACCTGCTGGAGGAGGCCGTCCAGCGCGTCCTTGTCCGCCTGCGCCAGGCCGTCCTTCTGCAGCCGCAGCAGCAGCTCGGCCTTCCGGTAGGGTCTCAGCGCCAGCAGGTGCAGCACGCGATCTCGGAAGGGCCGCTGAGACACCCCGCTGCCCCCGCCAGCGCTGCCAGCGCTGCACTTCTTGATGGCGCTGGCTGGGTTGATAGGGGTTGCCCGCTTCCGGGAGGGCACAGCATCCACTGCCCCTGGGGCCGGTTTCCGAAACTGAACCTTCTTGCCTACAGTAAGAGCCAGGTGTCAGGGACGGGAGGGGCTAAGGGGTGGTCGCCGTGTGGCCCTGTCTGGAGCGGACGGCACGTTCCTGAGCGAGCAGACACCCATGGATGGCCCACGGCCTACAACCCCGAGCCCAGGAGGAAGGCGCCTTAAGCCTCATGCAGCCCCACGTGTCCAGTGAGAGTGCCACCTGCTGACCACAAGCAGATCGACGGGCACGTGAGGGGTCCCCAGTCTCAGAAGTGGGCTGAGAGCCTTATTATCTAACTTCATCCAAACCCTGGCCCCTATGGGGAAAGTGGCTGATGCTTAAAAAGGAGTCGCAGAACGGCCAGAAGGAGCACCCCAGAGCCTGCAGTTCACAGCTCTATGCTGGTCCCCTGGGTCCCGCCATTCTCTCTTATGACAAAAGAGAAAATAAAAGCGTCAGGTCACTTGGGCAGACCTGCCTGTGCTCGGAGCCCCGGGGGCTGAAGGCCTCTCCCCCACCCTCCTGGTGCAAACAGAGACATGCGAGGGGGTCCTCCATGGAGCCCCCGGAGTGCTCTCGAGGGAGGGAGCTTCCATTCAAAGCCACTCACTCCACCTTGGACAACGCCCCTGCCACCGCAGGAAGGAGGACCTCTGAGAGAAGTCAGTGCAGGTCTTAAACCCTTGGGCCACAAACCTCTCCACGACAACCGTCTTTGGCATGTATCCCTTAACTCTGACTTGTCGAATGAACACAAGAAGGAGTGCTTTTAGAACCTGCGGGGTCAGACTTCATCCCCAGAGAACCCTGATGACATGGGGGAGAGGCTGGACACAGCCAGGACTGCACGTCTATGGCTTCTGAGGCCAGAACACAAACCAACACAAAAGCCGTCACTGTATCCTAAATGGAACAGTAAGACAAATTCTGACTGAAAGACCCACCCAAAACTTATTGAAATGGGTACGAATGTCCATATTTGCATCTTAAGGCAGGAGCAGGCAGCTGCAGCCCTTTAGGATTCTGGCGGGCACCTCCTGGGATGCTGACAGCCCAGGGCCCAGGCTCCCTGGCCACACACTGCCATGCTCACCAGGGCCCTGTGCTGATACGAGGACCAGCACCATCTGGGGTTTCATTCATCACCAACGCCACCGCTAGGCAAGGGAGACTGCGTGCTCTTTGGAGCAATGTGAAGGACCAATTTTTCCTTAAAGCAGAAAAACCTCCAAAAGCCAGAAAGGTTCTCCTTTGCTCCGTGCCTCTCTGGCCTTTCTTGCCTGACCATGAACTCACTGGCCTCTTTAACTCCATCTACGTCCAGAGGTGGGAAGACTGAGGCAGCACGACAGAGCTTTCTAAATGAACAGGACTTCTCTCTGCACTTTCAATGTGGCCAGTGTCTCATTGTCACTGAAACTGTTTCCAAGCAGATGCTGAGGGGGTGGGAGGTCCTAGGAAACAGGGATTCAACGCGTTTCCTCCCAGGTCTCCACCCCATGGTCCCTCGCTGGCCCCAGCACAGCAGCAGGCTGCCCGCCGCAGAGTGCATCTTGCCATCTGCACTGTGCCCTGGCCAGGTCAGCCATGGGAAGGAGACACCGGGGCAGGTGAGGGCAGGGGTGGCCACTGAAGGACAGGCTGCAGCTCTGGCTTCAGGCACGGTGAGAGGCAGACGTACCTGAGGCAACAGCCTGGGGACGGGGCCCTGGGGTTCAGAATTCTGGGAACTCTCAGGCCCTCCAGTCCATGCTGGATTCAGAACGCAGTGGACACCACCCGAGAAGAACCTGCTGACGTAACACTGACCCACTGCCCCGGCCTCTGTCAGCCCATCACTCCCGCTCCCGCTGCTGAGGGCCCTGAGGCTCTCCAGCTCTCCTGGCAGCTGCCCAGAAGGCACAAGACCCCCACAGGTGGAGCCCCGGCCCCCGGTCCTCACCCAGGTAACGGCCTCCGGGCTTGATGACGATGGCCCCTCGGCTCCGCGTCTCCTCCTCGGCCTGCGCCAGGCTCTGCCGCGCCTTCTGGTAGGAGTCGTCCGTGGCGCACACTGTGATTTTGTCCTGGATGCTGCCCAGGCAGTCCAGGTGGACATCCCCACGGCTGCAAGACAAGAGGCCAGAAGGTGAGGTGAGCTCCTCGGACGACCGGAGAGGCGGCCTCGGGGCCGACACCGCCCCCGCCTCTGACACTCCCGCCTAGGAAAGGGGGTCTGGTGCTGACTTGGCCAACAGCGTTTCTGCAAGGCACACCTTGACCTGAAAGAAGCAAGGGAACCCCGGTTCCCGGGCAAGAGGGGGCACACCAGGACCCACACCCGGGCCCTGGACGCACTGTAAGAGCCAGGACAGCTCACCTGGGGAGGGGAGCTGGGGCTGGAGGTGGGGGTAAACACCCGCATGGTGGGCTGAGCCAAGTGAGAGCCGGGCAGTGTGGGCAAGGCTCACCTGGAGACGTACTGCTGGATGCAGTCGAAGCTGCCCTGGGGGCTGTCACGGCCGATGTTGGAGAGGTAGAAGGAGAACGTCCGAGCCTCCGTGGGGCAGTCAGGTTGGGGGATGGAGATGTGCTGCATGGAGAAGGGGTGTCACTGGGGGGCCCACAGGCAGGGCCAGCCCGCGGTCCTGGCCCATCCCTGGCAACGTGTGAATACATCCCCTCTGTCTCCCTATCTGAGAGACCAGCCTGTCACCACGGCCAGGCTGCTGGTGGGTCCTGGGCCCCCACAGTGGCGCGGGGTGGGGGTGCAGCTTCCCGCATCTGCAGCAATGGTACTGCGGGCTGAGGAGCACGAGCTCTCAGCACACACCGGAGGCAGGGCCACTCCAACCGGGCCACGACAGTCCCCCACCACGCTGGGCAGACCAGGCTTCAGACAACCCGTCAAGCTGAAATGGGACAAGACGGGTGGGTGTCAGCAGCAGGCCAGGCACGCCCGGCTGAGATACCCTGGCGCACACTCCCCCTACCCCCACGTGGCGAGGCCCTCTCCACCTCCTCCAGGCCAGGGTCACCCTCCACCTGGGTGTCTGGGAAGAAGGCAGGCACGGGCCCTGGGGGGCTCACAGACGGGCAGCACTTGCCCCCGCCGACCACGACACGGGAGGTGTGCACATGGTTCACCTAACCCTGACGGCAGACGGCACCACTGCAGCCTAACTAGACAAAGCCACAGCTGCCAGAGAGGAAAGACGGAAGGCCTGGCCGGCCGGCAGACAAATGGCACTAGTCCTGGCTGAGGTGCAGGGCTCAGCGCAAGGCAGGAAACCCAGAGGCCGCTTCATTCCAGGCCGACCCTCTGGCCCCCTGCCCACCCTGAGCGACGGCCAGCAGCTGCTGAGAAACACAGTCAGGAAAACCTCATGCTCCAGCTGCCAGCCCCAGGGCGGGCCGGGAAGGGCCTCCAGAGCCCTGTCGCCAGAGAAGACCAGCCTTAAGGTCCGCCCTGGGCTGGAGCACCGGGCTTGTCACAGTCAGGGGGAGACACCGGAAGGAGTCACGGATGGACAAGAAGGGGCGGTACCAGGGTGCAGCGGGCAGCAGGCTGTCCCTGGGCTGTCGTGCTGCCTCCAGCAGGCCAAGCCGAGGACGCCTCCTCTGAGGTGACGTGAGGACAGCAGCATGCGACCCTGGGCTGAATGCCTCCTGCCCCGTGCCCGGCTGTCACATGCGAACGCAGCCAGCTCAGCCTGTCTGAGTCGAGTCTGGACACGCAGGCCCAGCCACCGCGAGAGAAGCTGCTGCCCCGCCCAGCCCTCGGTGGGGTGTGCAGACCCTCGAGGGGAGCTGGGAGGGCACACAGCCCAGGACTGGCTCCAAACGCTGTGGAAGCCCCGTCATGCACAGCCAGTCTCTGCTCCACAGAGACACTCCCTCCTCATACAGGGAGAGCTAAGGCGTCACAGAGCGGCCCCCAGGCCCAGCCGCTCGGGTGGGAAGAGCTTGGCCTGGGGTAGACAGGCAGTCTGCGGCGGCTGTCCAGGGACTGCAGACGACCTCGGGCTGCCAATCACGCCGCCCCCAGCTCCCAGCCCCGCCGGCCCCGCCCCACAACTGGTGTCTGCCCCGCGCACTCTCCTGGCCCTCCAGCATCCTCCTGCGCGTGCAGCAGGTGGCGGAGGGCCCGGTCAGGACACGTAGCCAGTGGCAGGGAGACCAGCAGGGCGCCCATGCCAGGTCAGCCCTGGGCAGCCACAGAGACCCTGATCTCCACACACACATTTCTGTAAGGGTCAAAGAGGGGATGAAGCAGCTCCCACTTGGCAAGTGTGTTTCTACTATAAGCCTGGACTGGCTGCCATGACTCTCCTTGGGCAGGAAAACACCTGTGTGTTCACACATGCACACTGGAGTCCCCGTGCAGCGTCGCACGCACTCCTCTGCAGACGCGACCTTCATTCTCTATCACGGAAGTAACCAGACACCCAGCGCCCAGACGCTTCTGAGGGTCACCGCAGGAGAGGCCCCCCAGGTACCACAGGCAGGGACACACTGACGCAGTGACCCAGAACGCGGCGGGAAGAGTGTGCACCATGATGTCAGCAAAACCAAAAGTGCTTCTGACGAAGCCTGAGCCCTGACACGCGGCCCCTCCCCACGCCCGGCCCTGAGCCTCTCCCTCACCGCGTGCTGGCCCTGGCGGAGACCCGGCCTCCCCCGGCGACATTTTTCCATCGCTGGCTGCTCAGAGGTAGCGGCTGCCGTGACTGCCTGCCACAGCCCCCGTCGGGGAGAGGAAAGGAGAGGGGCACAGCCTACGTCCCATCACCACTGTGCGCCTGTCCGGGCAGGGGCATGGGGGACCATTCCCTGTGACCCTTTAGCCCAGTGAGGACCTTTTCCACACAGGTATGTATCAGCCCTTTCAAAACCCTCAAGTGGCGGGGCAGAGCCCAGAGCCCAGAGGCGGGTCTGTGCAGCCACTGGGGCCGCAAGACAGCGGGCGGGGGGAAGGCCTGGTGGAGCCTGCCATAGCAGTCCTGAAGCCCCAGCCCCTCCCCAGCTCTCTGGCACCAGAGCACACGGAATCCTCTGGTTGACGGGCTGTTACGATGCTGGCTAATGGCTACCAGTCCCGGGAACCAGTGAGGGAAACCAGCCCACTGGGCACGAATGGCCCAGGATGCCCGGCTTTCTCTGCGATGGCAGACAGTGCAACACGCGTTCTCAAACTCGGCCTCCGTTCTGCGTTCTGGACCAAGCCCTGGCTCCCCCAGGGTCCACCACGGAGCCTGCAGCAGGCCTGAGCAGGGCAGGTTTAGTGCATCTGATGTCAGCCCCAACTCCTGGTATGAGGAGGCCGAGCAAGGTGCCACAGACTCACGGATGTGCCTGAGTGCAGAGATGCACAGGCAGACCTGGACCTCCAAACAGCCGTGTCCCACCCGGACAACCCAAGGGGTTGACGTCCAATCCAATCCTCCCAAGGAGGGTGCTGGTTCCACCGTGGGTAGGTCAAGCCCCTTTGAAATTTGTCCCAAGTCAAGCTGGCAGCCCTAACCCCACAAACGCAGGGCCTGATGTGTCTGCAGTGCAAGTAGGGGCTTCAGTGAGACAAATGAAAACCCCAGCAGGCTGTGGACACAAAGAAACGGCAGGGGATGCACTTGGCATCCTCTTCAGGAGAGAGCAAGACCAAACAGGGGCACACAGGAACCAAACACTGCCGAGCCACACTCTGGCCAGAGGGTTTTCAGAGAACGCTTGCTTTATTACCTTTATTTTCAGGGAACCCTCAGCATAAAACATCTTTTGGATCAAGAATTACTGCTGCACGCTGCATGGTCGGGAAGATCCTCTGGAGGAGGCAATGGCAACCCACTCTATGATTCTTGCCCAGGAAATCCCACTGACAGAAAAGCCGCTGGGCTACAGCCCATGGAGTGCCAGCATCAGACAAGTGACCACACACACCCTGGATGGCCTTCCCATAGCAAAGCAGCCTCTTCCGCCCACTGGAAGGCCCTCAGGTCCTCAGCCCCAAACCCAAGGGGTGTTCTGAGCACCTGCTTCCTTTCAAGAGCTGCCCCCTTGCACCATGGACAGGGAGAGGGAGCGCACACAGCCCCCCGCCCACCACTTCCCAGGCTTCCAAGTCATTCCCGCCATGCAGCAACCGGCAGCCCTGGGCTCAAGCTCGGGCTGGCCCTGAGGACTCCCGCAGAGCCGGCATCGGGACTGCTGACAGACACTGGTCACGGCCTCTGACCAGGGCCATCGAACCTCGTTCTAGAAACTGCCTTTGGGTTCCCGCTGCAGCACACAGAAATGCCTTACACAGCCCTGGACACCAATCCCACCTCCCTTTCTTTCTTCATCAATTGAAGACTTCTGGGGCGGGGCCAGCCAGTGAGGGGTTGTCTCTTCCCCTCGGGAAGCTGATGCTTCACCAGCTGTCGGGAACTGAGAGCTGAGCAGTGACCCCTGATGGAGAGGGGCCCAGGGCAGCCGCCGGTGTCTGAGAGACAGCAGAGAACTCACAGACACAGACGTGGCAGACGAAACACAGGCGAGCGCTTTGCTCCAGTGACGATGCTCCAGTGACGATGCCCCAGTGCTGGACGCGCCACAGGCTGCCGTAGTCACCCCCAGGAACCAGCCAACACCAGGGCCTGGCCACCCACCACCACGGCCAGACCTCGTGGCACTCCCTGCACGGGTGGGGAAGTGGCTGGGCCGGACCGGACTCCCACCCCAGGAGCTGGGGGACACTGAGACCCTTTGCCAGCTGGGCTGCATTCACATCAGGGGGGGACGAGCACCAGGAACCGAGTGAGCATGTTCTGGACTGCAAGGGGACTCTGCTTCTCCTTGAGCCATGGTTTATTTTGTTGGCTGCGCAGGGTCTCACAGGCCCAGCTGCAGCATCTGGGATCTCTGATATGCGTTGCGGCAGGCAGGATCTTCACTTGCGACATGCAAGCTCTTAGTTGAGGCATGTAGAATTTAGTTCTCCGACCAGGGATGGAACCCAGGCCCCCTGCATTGGGAGTGCAGAGTCACAGCCACGTGCCGCCAGGAAGGCTCCCTCCTAAGGTACCCAGCCCTGAGGTGCACGGCTCCGCTCCTGGGTGGGGAGGCCAGCAGCCAGAGGGAGATGACCTGGCCGAGGCCCCTGAGCTAAGAAGCAAAGAGGGTCTCAATCTTCAGCGCGCCGGCTTCATGGGCCTCTGGGAAGCAGGCCCTGCCAGCCTGCTCGGGGTCCAGAACATGGAGTCAGCACAGGCACCAGGAGTGCTGAAGGAGCTGGGCCAACTCGACCCGCCCGCCTCCTGCTGTTTCCAGCCTCGAGGCTGGAGGGCACAGCCAGGAGAATCGGGAGCAGACAGCAAGGGCCTCGACTCCTCCCCCACTGCTCCGAGTGGCCACGACAGCATCTGCTCTGCACCTGGCCCTAGGCCAGGCCTCTCACACCTGGCGGGGAGGAAAGGTCACGTTCTATCAACACCCAGGAGAAGAACAAGGCCCAGAGGTCACCAGGGGCAGACAGCACTCCTGGGCCTTCGCAGCAAACTGGGAAAGAACAGCAACCCCTTGCCACAGGCCTCCTCCAGTCCTCACACGGTCCCACCCAGGGAAGAGCCTCAGTGGAGACTCACGGCCTGGCTTGCTCCTGGCTGCAGCACACGGCCTCCACACCCTCAGAACCTTCTAGGTAGTCCATGACACATGAGAATGCCCAGAAGGAAAAAATGTGGGATTCTCAACTCAGAGGCAGGGACCCTTTCTTGAATAGATGTGGCGCTTAAGTTTGGCACAGGGATTTGGGTGACACAGTGCAAAGCCCAGGAGACCCTCACGGCGCTTCTATGAGCACCCCAGTGGTGTCTTGCTGACTAGAAAGCACTGCTCATGGATAAAAAGAACAGCAATCTGTGCACTGGCTTCCTCGTGTTCCCACAGCTGCCCAGCACACTGTGACCACGGGCCGCAAGAGGGCGCCACTGGGCCAGTCTGGCAGCAAGCCCAGCGGGCCCTGCCCCTTGGGGAAACAGCTCCGGGGAAGATCAAGCAGAAGCAGGCGGCCAGGGCCAAAGGAGGCATGGGGAGCCCAGAGAAGGCATGGGGCAGGGCGCGTGCCCTGGGGCCTTTGAGGGCCTCTCCCTGAGCCTGCCTGCTCTTGGTGTGGTGGTGATCCCCGGGCCAGGCCGAAGCCCCTAGTGACTCCATGAGAGGCAACCTGGGTGTGCTCTAAAGCTCCTCTGTAGGTGCGATGAACCCATGATCAGGTCTGGGTCGGCCTCACACAACCAGCAGAAGGCCTTAAGAGGGAAATTGAGGCTTCCCTGATAAGGAAGAAGCTTGCCCATGAACCTCAGGGCCAGCCCCTGCTTGCCCCATGGAATTCAGACTCATCAGCCCCACAGCCCCGTGAGTCAATACATCTTGCAATACATCTCTTGGTATCGCTGTATCTGCACTTGCAGACATGTATCTCCTCAAGGCTTCATCTCTCTGGAGCACCCTGCCTGGGGCGAAATCTACAGATCTCCCCGATTCTGTAAGAAGCCAGCAGGCTGTCAGGTGGAAACTGACTTAAGACGCGTGTGGCAACTCTTCAGATATAAAGAAAAAAAAAAGACCTGCAATAAAAACTAGGAAAAAACTAAAGTGTTCCAAAGCATCTTTAGTGGGTGGACGACATGGGGGTCCTAGGACCTGGGTGGCAAGGCTTACGGACAACCTGCCCTTTCTCCCATTCCTCAATTCTTCCGTAAGATGGTCATTTATGATCAAGTATCTTCCACGAAAAAACTGGAGTACTGAGTTTCTATACTTCCTGATACTAAAAAGTTAAATACTTGTGGTCCCAGGCCCACCGACAGAAGCGCCCCGCCCTTGGGGCCAGGTTCACTTGGGCTGGGGGGGAGGCGGGGCATGGTTTCCGATCAGCACAAAGATCAAGTCAGAACAGGAGTTTGGCAACGACAGGAAGTGGGAAGCTCAGGAGCTGCGGGACAGAGGAGCTGCCTTCCGCCCTCAGAGGGCCCGCCAATGTGGCCGCAGCCACAGGGCCAGGCTGGAGAGGACCAGAGGCAGAGCGTGGCTCAGCAGCGGGCCCTGCCTGGCACAAGGGCGATGGGGCCAAAACACTGCTCCCAGAGGGCTGCGGTGCCCAGCAAGCCACAATTCTAAATAAGTCTGATTAAGATAAAAAAAAAAGACTCACCCCTTGACTTCCCTGAAATCGGATCGAAGGTCTCAGTGAAACAGAATCCTGCAAAAAAGCAAAACAGGAAAATGTCAATGAAGATATCTGGAACATGTTTATGTACGGCTGAGTCCCTTCACTGTTCACCTGAAACCACCCCACATTGTTAATCAACTAAATAAAAAGTTTAAAGTCTGAAAAAGATATCTGGAAATCCAAAGACTCACTTCCCAGTCACACAAGGAGCAGGATAAAGACAGTGTTTTCAGGAGGGGGTGAAAAGAAGAAACTGCACGTGTTGAAAATTACAAAAGAGTCGCTGGAGCAGGGTTTTGACAGGTCAGTAAGCTCCTCAGATGGCCCAGGGGCCAGGGTTGAAGGTACACGAGAGGCAACGCGCAGCCCTTCACCATCCCCCCGCACAGCGGCACCAGCCCAGGCCATCCCGCCTCAGGGGCACTCCAGGAGGAGCGGAACTGCGCGGGTGAGCGCCACCCGCCAAGTGGCCGGCTGAGGCGGCGACGCCCGCCACCCCAAGGCCCTGACAGGACAGAGCCCAACGCCTGCCCAGCTCCACATCACAGCTTCCGAGCAGCTCGTCCCTGTGCTTGGGGCGGCAGAATTTCCAAATGTCACAGGAAAAAAATACACCAAAAAACTCTAATTTAAGCTTTAGCTATTTGGAGATCAGCCTTCTGCTGGAATTTCAGAAAGAACACGGATCCAGATGGAGGGTCACACTTCTCTTTCTCATTTATCCCGGGCCCTTGGCACCTACTTTCTGTGTAGCAGACCCCACCCCACAGGGGGTAGTGCCGGTTCATCACAACGACCCCCTCCCTCCATCCTCCAACCCACAGGGCCCAAATCAGCCTCTGGGCCTGTGGTTCTCCTCAGCTTTCCTCCACGTGGCAGCCCAGATCTTGGGCTCACGGGCCTCCAGCAGAGCCCGCCTCTCAGGCCTCCGCCCCAGCTCCCCCGCCTGGACCCCAGGACCAGTCTGCAGTGACTACCTGTCTGCTCTGCGTCCAGCACGTCAGGCCCGCCGGCGGCCCGGGGCGGGCAGAGCAGCCGCACCCACAGGGGGAGAGCCAACCAGTGCGCGGGCTGGCCTCTCAGTGCCCGTGACCCTGTCAGACCGCCGGGCGGCTGTCCACAGGTCAGGCAGACAGCGCTCAGCCAACCGGGACCACGGGGGCCACACTCGCACCCCGCCGGCTTACAGGCGCCTCCCCTTTAGCCAAGAGTCTCCAAGGACTTCACTCAGGCACCCGGAGCAGACCTGAGTGGTCACAGCAAGCTCCGGCACTCACCTCCAAGGAATCAGACATCCCAGAAGCCAGCCACCCTTTTTTTTTTAATTTGAGAAAGACTGAAAACATTTTTTTTTTAAATCTGAGAAAGAATGTAAGGATGTTATTTTACTTTTGGACCTCAGTCTCTGACCCGTGCCCCCTACAGTGAGGGTCGAGCCCATGCACTGTGCACTGGGAGATGGAGTCTTGACCACTGGACCACACTTTTAAAGCACATCACGCCTCACTGCCAGGTGGGCAGATACAGGATGGCCTCCAGCCCCTGCAGGGGCACGGGCTACTGCGCTGCTGAGCCAGGGGCCAGGCTCCCTTCACGGCAGGCTCGAGGCCAGACGACCTGCCCCCAGCCATGGTGAGACTGCTGCCTGGAATGCAGTTCACAGACTTAAGAGGGGCAGCACCGGGGGGCCCGTCTGGCTGGGCCTTTGGAGACGCAACATTTAAGCAGCCTTTGCTTGGAACCAGCTTAAAGACAGAGGCCCAAAGGAAGACCTGCAGGTGGCCAGTAAGCACGGGAGAAGCCATTTCTCACCACTGCGGTGCAGACTATGCAGGTGCCTACCGGGATAGCTAGAAGAAAAAAGACGACACCCCAGAACCCTCATCCCTTACTGGTGGGAGCATACAAGGTCCTGTAGAAAAGTGCAGCAAGTATTTTAATATCAGCTAACTTAACTTGGCTGTGTCAGGGCCTACCTGCAGCACACAGGATCTCTGCTGCAGTGCAGACTCTCTAGCTGGGGTACATGGTCTCAGTATTTGTGACACATGGGCGTAGTTGTTCCACAGCATGTGGAATCTTAGTTCCCTGGCCAGGGATGGAACCCACGTCCCCTGCACAGTAAGGCAGATTCTTAACCACGGAGCCACCGGGGAGTCCCCTCATGGTTTCTTTAAACAGTTATCACGTGACCCACCAATTCCAATTCCTAGGGATATACCCAAGAGAAATGGAAACACAGGAATGCACAAAAACACACACAAATGTGCACAGCAGAAATACTCTTTACTTCCCTGGTGGCTCAGCAGTAGAGAATCCAGCTGCCAACATAGGAGACACAGGTTCAGTCCCTGGGTCGGGAAGATCCCCTAGGAGAAGGAAATGGCAACCCACTCCAGTATTCTTGCCTGGGAAATCCCATGGACAGAAAAGCCTGGTGGGCTACAGTCCATGAGGTGGCAAAGAGTCAGACAGGACTTAGTGACTAAACAACAACATTCAAAGAACAGCCAAAAACCCAAATGCCCGTAAGTTGGTAGAGAAACAAAGTACTACCTAGAAATAAAAAGAAATGAGCTCCCAATAGACACGACATAGACAAACCCTAAAGCCACCAGCTAAATGAGAGAAGCCCAATATTCAACACCGTACAATGGATGACTCCACCTGTATAAATTTTCAGAAAAGGCCAAACTAATGAGAGTGCAGAACTGTGAGTGCCTGGAAGTGGGGAGTGGCTGCAGGTGGGCTGGAGGGAACTTCTCAGGTGGAGTTAACACTCTGACTATATGCCTAAAATGAGTGTAATTTCCATGGGTTGTAAAAGACCCCGAGAGCACTCCAAAGCCTCAGGGGCTTTGGGGAACGTCACCTGAGCGTACAGAGAGTTACTGAACAGGCAGCGGGGAGACTCATCTGTCACCCAGTGTCAGTCAACAGTGATGTACAGAGGACGGAAGGGAGACAGCAGGACACGTAAGGGCAGCAAAGACAGCGCCGAAGCAAAGCTGCGTGCCCACCGTCCTTACGGAGCTCTCCACCGACATCACCTGACCCCGAGAGCCAAGAAGGCAGGGTGCTCTTGGTGGGGAACGGCAGATGTAAACTTGGAGCAGAGACACGGGGTGCTACAGAAGCAAAGGGCTCGCAGTACCTGGTTCTCACGCCCTCAGCCCAGACCCCTCCATGCAGAACTCAGTCTGGGGCTCACGGCAGCAAGGCTGTGTTGCAGGAGCTTGGGGGACAGGCACGACGACGACAGTGCTGATGCAAGCCCAGATTTAGGGGCGAGAAGGAGAAGAACTAAGAAGGGTGCACCCCCTGAAGAAGGGGCTCTACCAAGGCAGCCCCACCTGTGCCTAGCGTGGCTCACACGCTCCCTGTGGCATCTAGTGAGGCATTTAACTCGCTTACTAGGTGCCAAGCAGGTTATTTAGAAGATCGCTTTCTTACGAAGCCCTAGTCGTTCACTAAGGGCACTGTGGGGAAGCTGGCCAAGGCTGAAAGCTCAAGCTAAAAGGACCGCGATGCCAAGAGGGCTGGTCTGCAGTGCGTGTCGCCTAACTCATCGCAGAACCAGGCTCTGGGCCACGTGGGTTCTCACAGTGTCTCCTCCCGCCAGCAGGAGGACCAGGCCAGGTCAGTCCCGTCCACAACAGAGCAATTCACTCATACCATCGTGCATTCGCAAACACACACACGAGTGACCCCCAGACACAAGTCACCTGTCTACAGCCATTAGCAAAACAGACACCACACGGAACCCTAAATTACACCAGCCCCTGTACAGGCAGAGAGGACAGGAGCCTCATTTGGAAGATCTTAGAACAAAAGGAGGAGTCAGTAACACCTGGTCAATGACTGAGGTGTATTCTCTTTTGGGGGCCGTGCCCCGTGGCTTGTGGGATCCTAGCTCCCGGACCGAAGATGGGACCCACACTTCCGGCAGTGAAAGCCTGAAGTTTTCATGTCCCGACCACCCGACCACCAGGGAATGCCCCTGAGGTATGTGCTTGTCTGTTCGCTGACTGATTGCTCGGCGGCAGCCGGGCCCTCAGCAGTGGGCGTGTGGCGTTCACACCACTGGCCCACCAGGGCATCTCCCCTCCCGAGGTGCGTCCTAATGGCACTCAGCCCTTGCTGCTCGACAGGCGGCGGCCAATAGCATCAGAGATACACCTGCCGGCACCAGAGGGCCCGCCCGCAGCACTGGGGTTAGCGCTGCCGCTGCCGGGTGTGGCCCTCGCCACAGGTTCTCCTCAGTCTTAGGGGCGACAGCCGTGACCTTGTGTGTAGACCTTCCCACCCGGGGCGCCTGTCAGTAAGCTGCCTGGTCACCACTGTGGCCCCCCACCCCCCAACCAGGTTTCCAGGAGGAAACGCTGGCGCCGGCCGGGGTGTTGCAGGAGTCTCCGCTTTTGGAGTGTCCTTCGCACCAACATGTGACCATCCCACCTGTCACAGACTCTCAAGCTCAGAGGCCCAATGACATTTTAATGAAGCACAACAAAATTAAAATTGTTACAAGAAAAGAGAATTTTCTGAAGAGTTCTAAAATGTACTAAAATTACTTGTGTGTCTTCAACATCGACCAAAGTGGCACATTACTGTTTTGCTGTGAAGATGGGGATCTGTTTTACATCCCTGAACCCCGCTCAGTGGTGGAGCTAACGAGCCCTCATTCAAGGGCTTCTCTCATTCCTCTCACTACAGAATTTCAGAAGCAAGCTTCCCCAGTATCAGCTGACCCACTACTAACCAAGTGGCCTGTCAGCAGCCAGAAGAACTGTCAGTCTCTTAAGAAAAGACAACCAAATCCAGCACATGATCCCATGCACTCTACAACACTCAGTATCCCAAACCAAAAGCCTTCAGACGTGGGAAGCTATAGAAAACTGTGACCCTTAACCCAAGAGAAGCATCAGTCAATGAATGGAAACAGACCCAGAAAGAACAGAGAAGATGGCATTATCAGACAAGGGTTTCACTTTAGAGCAACTATTCTAAATTTAAAATGCTCGCAAGCTTAA